ACTGAACATCTGATTCCAAAGGTTTATTGAATTAGAAGTCTAGAATCAATTACCGCCTCCGTGGTCTAGAGGTTGAGCGTCCGGCCGGAGAGCGGAAGGTCCGGGGTTCGATTCCCGGCCGCGTCATACCAAAAGACGTTAAGATATGGTACTTGTTGTTACCTCTGGCGCTCGGCATTAATGGGCAAAAACAAGGACTGGTCGGCTCGGAATACTGTGTCTGAGTGGGGTATTCATGTTAAAGTGAGGCTTGGTATCTCAGTGAACTAGCACTATAAATCGGCATCAGTCCACACAAACACACATGCATGCACGTCGCTATATAAGTGCAATCATCTTGGGCGACGTTAAACCCCATTTCACCTCACCTCACCTCCCACCGAGAACAGTACTCCTATCCCTTGTAAACAGGACAATGAACGTATTCACAACCCCTGTCAAAGGCGTACCTCAACCCATGGGCCACAGCGCGGTAATACCGATAACGTCAAGTTTCTGGCACTCAGATACAAATAATTACGGATAGAATACATTTGACTTGACATTAAACGACAAACATTCAACCATTATTTGACTAAATGAACGATACTCGAATGAATAATGGCACTACAAGATTCCCAGGAATCTATGAATGTTAAATGGAGACTCCATGCTATGATTCCAGTCTTGGTCTGGACGTTGTAATTCGAGCCATGCGTTCAACTGACACATTTTCTCTGTAAAACTAGGGTAATAATGAGCTGTTGGATTGATGTACATGATAACGGATGAATCAAGCTGTGTTAGAACGACTTGCTAGGTGTGCCAATTCGCCTGAGCTTCGTCGCGTTTTATGAAACAGATAATATTATTTAACGAACCAAATTCCTCTTAAACCATGGTTCCTTTGTTAGTTAAACACGACGACGGACGAAACTTCCTTTTCGTGATTGACATAATGATAAAACAATGTGACGAAGAACGGGTGTCGCCGGTCGATTTCGAACTAATCGAGTCTTCTGATCTGCCGTGTCAACATGGAAGGAATTATGTGGAATTAACATTTAAATATTTACCAACATCAATACAATGACATCAAGTTAATCCGTTAATGAACGGGGATATTTGAGTTTCATTCCATATATTCTATACATTGAACGTACGTGTTATTTTGCTGGCTTTTTGTTAAAAGAAACGAACAGATTAAAATGTACTCTTTATTTAAAAGGACTCAATAGGCCCAATATGGGTAAATGTTATTCAGGTGATTGTTTACTGTGCAGAGGTTGGTCTTATACGAAGTAAATACTTACCCCGGAACATGGATTTCATAAGTGTTCAGCGAACAGGGAATGTACCAAATGCCCAGGGATTTCACATGCATGACGTGGGGTTGACGTACGCACTGACCTTTCCAGCTCAGCGCAGAGTTCTTGAATATCGTTTTAAAAACCGTTGTCAAAGAAACATGTTACATAATTATATGTTATAAATGTTGGCCACGGATTAAAAGGCTTCGACCCGTGGTGCCTAATTGTTTGAACGGTTTGTTTTAAATCCGCAACGCGGACTTCACCTAATCATTTAAAAAGACTCGATGCCTGGTCCGCGATCTCTAACCTTCACTTAATCACCGACATCCAAAGTTGGTTAAGCTGCAGTTCACGGCGAGTGGTATGAATCTCATGGTTGACCCAGAGAGTCTCTGGTTTACCCTACATCCGTCACTGCATGATTCCAAATAGTCTCAAGGACGTGACGCCCATCTGTATTGATGCTTTTCCAGTGTCGTGTGCATGGTTTTTGTGGTCACCTCCAGTTTCCCTGCTAATTGACCACCTCTGCTGACCCCAGACTCTATATGGAGACCAATAATGGCGGGTCTCCCCACATCGTGTTCTCATCCTTCACCACTAGGAGTTAATCTTCAACGCCCATTACGTCAATGCTTCTCTCCTCCAATATCAGGCATCAGCTGACTAGTCGTCTATAGGAATTAATCGTCATGGCGTTGCCAGCAACGGCTGTCGTGAACGATGGCTCACTAATTAGAGTTTATTGTTCGACCTAATCTGTAGTGACAGTAATAGCGATGTATCAGTGTAGGATCATATTCCTGTCTTCTTAAACTAGTCAAGAAACTCACCTCAATGAAATTAATAGCAGTTTATTGGAAGCCGGTGTGTTGTTTGCCATAGTTACTGTGATTTATCATAATGGACTTGGTACTAGAGTGGAACATTAGTCTGTTCTACAGGCGCTCTGCTGGTCTTGGAGATGAAAAGGCTTAGAGGGGTCCATCACAAGAAAAGACCATTCCTTCAGCGGTCTGTACATCCTAACGACTATCGTCAATACTTTATGGTTTTGTATACACCACGTTCCTCCATCATCCGTACACCATGGGTCGATATGTGGTGTAGAAGTAACGTTTTTCATCTGAGGGTCAGATCATGAAATGAGGCTGTGCATGAATCCTACCCGCTGGACAGAAACAATGCATCACTTCACGGCTTTCCTACCACATTTAGCATACTTATGAGGACATGTGTTGGTATACCCATACGATTATTTTGTTTGTTATTATGTGCTATGTGACTGCGGTATGTGAGTGAGTGAGTGAGTGAGTATGGGTTTACGCCGCTTTTAGCAATAATCCAGCAATATCACGGCGGGGGACACCAGAAATGGGCTTCACGCATTGTACCCATGTCGGGAATCGAACCCGGGTCTTTGGCGTGACGAGCGAACGCTTTAACCACTAGGCTACCCGACCGCCCCTACTGCGGTATGTAAATAATCCAGTCTGGACCAGACAATTCAGACCACCCGATCCCGTTAGTCGCCTCTTTCGACAAGCATGGGTCGCTGAAGACCAATTCTAGCCTGGATCTTCACGGGTCACCTGGTTCAATGTGTAGAGCCAATACCACATGCCTCAAAACATTGCCATTTGTAAACCGAGCGTTCATTGGTCTGAATACTCGCCGGTCTTCCTCTCGCTGAAACTAGACCTGAGGTTGATTCGTTGGTTTAAAATAGCCGAGGACGCGTCTGTTTGCAGAGAAACGTGTCAAGACGCTCTCGCCTCCATGCTTCACCTCTACGAGGAAGTGCCCGTCCCCTCACAAGTGTGCTAGATGTGGGCAATGGTGCAATTAAACTGTAGAAAAACATGACACTCTCCTTGTGGGCTACACATACGTGTAAACTTCAGATGCGCATATATGCCTGTGAGATATGTACCATACTCGCCAACTTGCGTGTATTCGCCATCATGCCCGAAGCAATGGTATGCGAGACGTATGGACGTTGATGGTGGGCATACTGTACACTGTGTCATCCAATACGAGCATGCAACTTAGTACAGTCAGAGCGACCGATTCATGACAACCTTTATCAGACTGAACATCTGATTCCAAAGGTTTATTGAATTAGAAGTCTAGAATCAATTACCGCCTCCGTGGTCTAGAGGTAGAGCGTCCGGCCAGAGAGCGGAAGGTCCGGGGTTCAATCCCCGGCAGCGTCATACCAAAAAAACGTTAAAATGAGGTAACTTGTTGTTACCTCTGGTGCTCGGCATTAATGGGCAAAAACAAGGACTGGTCGGCTCGGAATACTGTGTCTGAGTGGGGTATTCATGTTAAACTGAGGCTTGGTATCTTGGTGAACTAGCACTATAAATTGGTATCAGTCCATACACACACACATGCATGCACGTCGCTATATAAGTGCAATCATCTTGGGCGACGTTAAACCCCATTTCATCTCACCTCAACTCCCCCGAGAACAGAATACTCGCCTGTCTTCCTCTCGCTGAAACTAGGCCTAAGGTTGATACGTTGGTTTAAACTAGCGACTACACGGCGTTGTGGACGTGTGTATTCCCGGGTAATGGGGGAACGTTGTGATACAAGACCGGGAAGCAGTGACGATTATCGAAGCATTAATATTTAATCCTTGAGCCCAATTTATATGTACATTGATATAGAACTAGATGTTCCAGATCTATACAAATATATTTCTCTGCATTATAATATATTTTATTACAAACTAAATGTATTTTAATCTATTGGTTGATTTTTGATGGAAATAATGACCCGACTTGTGTACAGTTCTCTCTAAATATAGAATATTCTATGGGGGATGACAGGTGCGCGTAGTTCGGTCAAACGGGGAAATTGATTCAATGTGTTAGAAAACCTATGTGCATCAGGTCAAATTAAACGAGACTTTAACTCATCAGCTAATATTACCCTTTCTGAACAGAGACAATGTCTTAACTTCACCCATGGCATTCATTCTAGACCTGAACTGGACACCAGTCAAGGAAACACATTTGTTCGTTTGTTGTTTACGCCACATTCCAGCTATATGGCAGTGGAAACCAGTGATTAGAGTCAGCACCACGCAATCAACCAAGTCACTGAGCCTGACCACCGTTCTATAATTTGTTTGTTTGTTGTGTAACGCCGCACTCAGCAATATTCCAGCTTTACGACGTCGGTCTGAAAATAATCGAGTCTGGCCCAGACAATCCAGTGATTGACATCATGAGCATCGAACCATGCAATTGGGATACGATGACATGCATGAACTAAGTCAGCGAGCCTGACCACCCGATCCCGTCAGTCGCGTCTTACAACAAACATAATCGCACCGTTCTATAAAGTTCGAAATACACAGGCCGGTGAGGATTTATTCTAACCTGGCATACCCCCGGGATGAAACATTGTTGAGGAATCGTTGCAGCAAAACGTTCAGTATAGCAACCATTGTCAAACTCTGGTATTTTAAAAATCGGGATTTTATCTAAGAAATATCCGATAATCGGGTTCATCATCCCCGAGGAGAAGGATTATAAGAACTGTGTATATATTTAGAATTTCCTTGCGTGTTTGACGCTAGAGGCCGGCTCATTGAAGTAAGATTTATCTCTTTGTACTTAGTTCCTTAAGCCACAAACGGTTTGGACCCTAGTAACAACACCCAATGGACGTGAAGAGGTTCCTGGGAGAACATTAACACTAATAGGAAACTTTAATGAGTGTGTCAACAGTTTCCACGTCATAGTGGTAGAGCACAAGCACAAAGGTAACCATGGTGATCACAAAAAAACATTGTCTCAAATTGGTGTAAAATATAAACATGGTAAAACAGCACAGATCACACACAGATGAATTGTCTCAAAGCAGAATAATGTCCTTGGTGTGTCCGGATTATAGAACTGGCCCAAAGAGTCACAAGACACATGTGACTGTGGAGTCAGCTCATGAAATATCACAATCGCCTCAACATTTGAAAATAATACTTAGTTTTTGGAGCATCAAATGTGTTTTTCTCCAGAGTAAAATGGTTGGTTTCAAATATACTAGCACTGTTGAGAAATATGTCTGTAATTGTCACGTGAATACTCTGCGCAGGGTTTTTCGCTAAAACCTATTTTCAATCTTTTGTAAAAGACATAAACATTGATGAAGGTTCAGATTGGACTTCTTTTCAAAAACATAAACTTTGATGTCGCTTTAGATTGTATTTCTTTTTTCAAAACATAAATGTTGATGAAGCTGCATATTGGACTTTTCGCTCTCATCTCAAATGTCGAAGTGTCACGTGAACAGTATCTTGTTATGTTGGCGATTTTTAATATAAGCATATGTTTTAAACACGTCTGACTTTGCATGTTGTGCATTCTTAAGCTGCAAATACCATAAAGTCATAGTACAAGATCCGATAATGTGATTCGGTATTTTTAAGTCGGTCATCTCATTTTCTTGAAGGTATCGCCAGAGGTCATATCACAAGCTCTCTTTTTTCAAGAACCTGGTTGTGTCAAATTCTTCGACACCTGAGCTCCCACTTCGAGTCACCGGAAGTAGTATCAATGCCTTTCTCTTCTGCTGCTTGTTGCCCTGGACACCTTTTGTTCTGGGGCTTGAATATTTGTTTGATTCGTTAGTTGACCTTTGCGTAACTTCGTCACTTGCACCAGTTTTCCGCGAAGTATCGTATATCTCCTGCGAAGGAACCTTGAAGCACTGAAGTATTAACTGAAACCGGTTATTTTGTAACACATTGAACTGCAACCGGTTATACTGAAACGCCACTACAACTATAACCGGTTTACGTCCGATAACACAACATAAATTAAAACTGGTTAACGCGCAATCACATATAAAATCGTCATCATCATAATCTGGCACTGGATTCCAATGCACTGGGATTCCTGATTCGATCACTGTCAGTACTTCTGGGGTTGGGTACACTACGTTCCAAATCACCCGTGAATACATACGGCCGCGTTGCTACGTAGTCGCTTTTTTTAAACAAACGAAACTAATCCAGCGATTACCAGAAGGGCTCGGGTCAATGGGTGATCAAACGGTATCATTGCATTGTACCCACTGCCGACATTCAGAGTTGCTTCCCTTGTGCACGCCAGAAGCCTATGGTTGGTTCGAATCCCGGTTCGCCCCGATTATGTTTCTAGGTTTGTCAGCACCATACTCGTGGGTTTCACCCAAACGTTTAACGTCTGAGACCTGCATCGCTTCCGGCTTTCCTCCCAGATCAAGCTGATATCACTGGAATACTTTTCAAAACTCGCAGACACTACATTGCTTCAATAGCAGGCAATAGTAGGGTTTGCACAAAGTTTTAGCACGGAGTTCTATTGACTCCAATTATATAAACAGACTCAATTTCATCAGCTAAGTTTAACAGCACCACGTCACGACTACAGCGCAGAACGGTCGTATGTATCTACGGGTGATGGAGGAACGTGGTGTTTACAACATCTGTGACGTATTGACGACGTGATCACATTAGATGGATATATAACTTCTATCATACTTTCTTCTCCACTACGAATAGTTCAAACTCCCCGGTCGTGCTGCGCCTCTTGGCTCCTAGGGAGATAATCTCGGACGGATTAGCAGTGTTGGCGTTACACAATAAACACTCAGTCTCCGGCGGAGCGTTGTCGTACTGACTAACGCTGTCGACGTCGTTCACTACACTACGCCTAGGATTGGGACTGTTTTTGTCAGGCACTGAAATCTGTAAATGGTCTCTTGAATTTGATTTGGAATCATTTGAAAGCCTCTCTTTGGAGGATGCATATTTCTTTTTCACCGAATCCCTGAACGTGTTTAATCTCGATCTAAATGAGTGGTGAGAAGGAGAATCCCCGTCTAAACACACGTGATTATTGTCAGTGGTCTTGAGAAAGTCCCAGAGGTAGCCATCAGTTGAGTTCACGTCGTTTGGCGACAACTCGGGACTTTTCTGATTGTCTGTTCGTGACCTTGAACCACCCAGCACCCGTCGTCGGAGAGAGTCGGAACCGGAAGTAGGAGCAGCCCTCGATGAGTTGTTGCGTCCCGCTTTAGCCAAACGAAGCTTTCGTATTTCCTTGTTCTCTCCAAGTAGCCAGTACGTCAGCATATCTCCCTTGCCCTGAAACAAAAATACACGGTTCAGATTTGCCCTAAGACAAATCCACTCGATTCAGACTTGTCCTGAGACACATACCTACAGTTGAGACTTGCCCCGAGACACAATCAGACGGTTCAGACGTGCCCCGTGACACAACAAACTGTTCAGACGTGCCCTGTGACACAAGAAACTGTTCAGACGTGCCCTGTGACACAACAAACTGTTCAGACGTGCCCTGTGACACAAGAAACTGTTCAGACGTGCCCTGTGACACAAGAAACTGTTCAGACGTGCCCTGTGACACAACAAACTGTTCAGACGTGCCCTGTGACACAACAAACTGTTCAGACGTGCCCTGTGACACAACAAACGGTTCAGACGTGCCCCGTGACACAACAAACACACGAGACAAGACTTAGCCATGGATTCTTGATAATAATAAATTCGATGAGTATTATAGTCAGTGAAAAGGGTTTCTCATCAATGTTACTGCCAAATCAAGGATGTGTACACCAAGAATGGACCAAAAACGATATCAAGTCGATCTCGATCTCCGTTTGTCCAGAACCACGGAAAACTGGATGGTTCAAAGGAATTCCCAATAAAAGGTTTCATTGTACAAAGAAAAGAGGAAATGTGCTGAATGAATTTATTCACGCTTTACTAAAACAATATTTTTTACGGGTTCTAAATCACAATGGGCATGTAAGCGTCTGTGATATAAGGAGTACCGTCTTGTCAAAAAAATACTTTAAATGAATCGTCTAGATAACGTTGACACGATGATTAATAGTATAATATTTATATCAATAAATGATCTTAATTGGTTAATGAAATCCAAGCAATGAGAAACCTCTTTTCCAGTGTAGACTTTCAGTAGTCAAATGAATGTCAATAGAGGAAGACAGTAACCATTTGTTTTCATTTCTAAATGTGTATATTTCGACAACAAACCGCGTGTTTTGAGCTTTTTTAAAGTAAACCAAGTTCTGGAAAGACCGTGGTCACATGGACTGACCTTCATGTTGACCAGTCCCCGCTCTTCCACGATGTAGCCTCCAAGGATGTCTAACGTCTTCTTACAGTCGGCACTCAAATGGATCATTAAGGCTGAGAAAAAAAATCACAGCACATACATAAGGACACTACAGACTGATCATTTACTTGTCGGAATCCCCCTTTATTTAAATGATTTAACAAGTTTTGGAGAATTCAAATCAGTGGCCACTTACAGCTACAAAAATATCCTCTGGGGAATTTGTCTTCCAGCCATGGCTGTCTCAACGTTTGATTGTTGTTTAACGCCGCATTCAGCAATATTCAATCTACATGACGGCGGTCTGTTAATTATCGAGCCTGGGCCAGACAAACCAGTGGTTGACATAATGAACATTGATCTACAATGACATGCATCAACCAAGTCAGCGAACCTGACCACCCGATCTCGCCAGTCGCCTCTTACGACAAGTAAGGGTTGCCGAAGACCAATTCTAGCCTGGATCTTCCCGGGTCACCTGAAGTAATGTGTAGAGCAGATATGCAATCGACCAAGTTACTGAGCCATTTTGTCGCCTCTTGTCATCATAGGTTGCATTTGTCTTTTTGTGAGTAAAGAAATATGTTATTTAAATAGAACACAAATTGCAAGGATCTCAACAAAATTAGTTTTTTGCGGCCTTTATCGGGTCTACAAAAGTAACCAGCAGAAGGCTCCCAGACTATGGAATATGTACACACTTTAAATACAAATAGCCACACAACTTACAAACAAATACAAAACTGTTTGCATCGTAATGACAGGAACCAAGCATATTTTCAGAGGAACCTTACATAGTAAATTACGCCTACGCAACAAATGGTCACACGCTGCGTGATTTACTGTGTCAGATTCCATTGAAAATACGCTTGTTTCTTATCATTACGATGCAAACATTATGGGGATTGTGACTTTGTTTGTAATAGGTGTGGCCATTTGTATTTAAAGTGGGTACATATTCCATTGTTTGGGAGCCTTCTGTTGGTTTTATGTGGTAGGCCTGTGAATGTTTTCTGGACAGAGCATGGATTGTGAAATAGCGAGCTGTTGTGAATGTTTTGTTTTGTTTGTTCGCTTGTTATTTAACGCCACACTCAGCAATATTCCAGCTATATGGCGGCGGTATGTAAATAATCGAATTTGGACCAGGACATCCAGTGATTGACATCATGTGCATCGATCCACGTAATTGCTTCAACCATGTCACCAAGTCTGACTACCCGATCCACTTAGTCGACAAGCGTAGGTTACTGGGGATCTATATTCTTACCAGGAATCCCCACAGGATCCAATGCTATGTATATAAACTGCGGGGCAAAGGAAATTATACTCTTGACAACTGAATTTGACCAAACAATTACAAACGTTGTCAAAACTTTACCAGGTTGAAAACAGTCCCCGAAACACTGCAAACTTAAGATCCAAAAGACAACTGTGATACCCATATGAAATACACCACCATCGAATGACCATTTCGTGTTAGTTTCATTTTTAGCCACCGTCAAACATGGGTGTATACTTTCTTTTTTTCGGCGGTATATTTCTAAAAGATACATTGAACTATGATTACATTTTTCCAGGTGTTTTTATCAAAATATGAAACAGTGAAATATTACTATCTGATGTGTCTCTGCTAACTAGTGTCTGGTTTCTTTTCTGTTGTCAGTAAACACGAACCAATCTGTTTTAACAAACAAACATTAATTCATCTGGGAAATTGTAAGTCAGTCGTAAAACTTTTCCTAATTCACAAGAAAGACGTTTTCAGAGACACCTACAAAAATATAAATGGGGTTTGAGGGAAATGTTTCAAGATTCTTGTAATGGCCGCTTGGACACTGGTGGCAGCTATGATACTGGGAGGCTCACGACAGTGTCACGCACTGGGAAGGAGCTTGCAAACACCGGAAGTTAGATAACAAGATGGCTGCTCACCCTCTCCGTTTGTCTCCATCCTGGAGGCGGTGTTGACGGTGTCACCGAACAACGTGTACCGCGGCATCGTCACCCCGACCACCCCCGACACACAGGGACCTGCAACAGAATACGTGTTACCTATCAACTGGGATGATTCTTGGTACTTGAAACTGATAAAGAGTCACCCAAATGGGAACTGGGAATTTCGGTGGAGACACTTCTTTCGTCCTCTGCTGCAAGACAAATCCAACATGTCCTTCGAGCAACCTGTTTTAATATGAGGCTACATTTCTTCCAGTATTTTCGGAAACAAACTATTCTAAGTAAAATCCAAATGGCAAAATGGTCAGTCTCTTTTCTATTCTTAAACCTCAATGACCAATGTGTAGGGCATGTCCCCTATAGAAACACACTTAGCACAATGTATAAGTTAATTATGTAATTACGTTTCCTTTGCTTCTTCATATAATTAGCAAATTGGGGAGTATTACGTCCTGAAATTACTCCTCCAGATATTAATGGGCGACTGGGCTCAGGCTGTCTAAGAAAGATTGTTTTTGGGTTTACAAACACACATTATATCAATTTTGCAGTTGGTTATTACCTTCATTACAGACAATGTTTCAGTTTTATACAAGTCACGAGCCACAGTGTCTAGTTCTTTATTTGTAATTGGCAGCTGGTTGGGTACATAGTCTCTGTTTAAACATGTTCAACACTTCACGGGTTTGTACATCTTCCCGAGGCAAGAGAGTTAACTGACTATAAAAGTCCAGTTTCCAACTTTGCCGAACTAGGCTGGTATTATGGAGTTACATTTTAGCTGGACTAACGAGTCTATGCATAGTCCAATCAAAATCGCGCACCGAAATCGAAATCCGGTTCGTAAACTGTCGTGCAGATTTCGGTCGATTGCAAGATTTGCAAAGCATGTGCATCGCCAACTCGTTGTCAGCAGATATTTTCCAAATTGTTTCAAGGTGCTGACGTGATTTGATGCATTTCGCGATGTAAGACCCCTTTTATCACAATATAGATCTTGATCATTGATCAGATCGTCCTGACTGGGCGCCACCATTTTGTGTGAAGCAAACGCAAGTGATACGAGAGGTGGAATCTGATTGGTCCATAGGAGAGGCTTAGAAGGGACATAACTGGTAATAGCCACTGGTGGCGCTACGATCGAGCCCAGTAATTCCAGTCTAGTTCGGCAAGGGTGGAAACTGGACTTTAAAGTCAGTTAACTGTCTTGCCTCGGGAAGATGGGGTTTGTACAACTGCTTTAATCCATCATCCGCGCATACCAGGCCCAGTTGCAATGTAGTTGATATATTTCATCAACGAATCAAACCACGGCACAAACGGCAATGTTCCTCGTGCAGCCTATGCCACAGCCAGCGGTCATCTGCTCCACACATTGCAGGCAACAGAAGGGTTCGCACAAAGTTCATGTAAGGAGTAGACATAATTGACCTTCAGCGAGCTTTTAACGGACTTATCTTATTGGCTCACTTAAACTGAACACACGTCACTACTACACCGGAAACCAGCCTTGAATACTCACACGTGATTGGGGAACGGATGTATACAAACCCATGATATATTAACGATGCTCCTTGAATATAACATTACTAACCCGAATGTATTCCGATCCTGAGTTTGAGGGTATCATTTGCCCGATGTGGTATCTCAAACTTCTTGATGGCTGTCAGCAGATCCAGCGCCATAGAGGCGATCTCCCCGGCGTGGTTATCGCCATTTTTGACCGGAAGTCCACTGACCACCATGTATGCATCGCCGATTGTCTCCACCTTGTATACGTCGTAGTGCTCGATGATGGAGTCGAAGGACGTGTAGAGGTCGTTCAAGAGGTCCACAATCTGGAGATCAGAGCGCGAATGTTCAATCACAGAAACAAGATTTTAAGTTATTGTAGAAACGTTGCAATATAATAGTGAGTGAGGAGGCTTTTGGGAATATCCCGGCAATATCACGGCGAGGAACACCAGGAATGGGCTTCACACATTGTACGACCCGTGAAGATCCGGGTTAAAATAGGTCACAAGCAACCCATGATTACCGTAAAAGGCGACTGTGCTTGTCGTAAAAGGCGTCAAACGGGATCGGGTGGTCAGGCTCGCTGACATGGTTGATGCATGTCATCGTATCCCAAGAACGTAGATCGATGCTCATGATGTCAATCACTGGATTGTCCGGACCAGACTCGATTATTTACAGACCGCCGTCATATAGCTGGAATATTGCTGAGTGCGGCGATAAACAACAAACAAACAAACAAAACATATGACATCGCCGCGGATCCTAGTTCAAATAGCTCCCCAGAGCTCTATTACTGGTTGCTTGTGTGTCGTCATACCCCGACACACAATCGTATACAGTGAAACCCCAATTTGCCGAACCCTGTTAATCTGTTGAGGTGAGGTGAAATGGGATTTAACGTCGCGTCCATGCTTATTGCACTTATAAAGCGAAGTGCATGTACGCGCGCGCGCGTGCGTGCGTGCGTGCGTGCGTGTGTGTGTGGCTGCTTGTACTATTCCGGGCTGATGCTGATTTATAGTGCTAGCTCACTGAGATACCATACCGCAGTTTAACATGAATACCCAACTCAGACACAGTATACTGACTCCGAGCCGACCAGTCCTTGTTTTAGCCCCTTAATGCCGAGCGCCAGACAGGGTAACAACAAGTACCATCATTTAACGTCTTTGGTATGAAGCGGCCGGGGATCGAACCCCGGAACTCCCGTTCTCCGGGCGGACGCTCTACCACTAGATCACGGAGGCGGTCGTTAATCTGTTGAAAACCTAGTCTTCCGGACCCCTTTAGACCGGAGTTATAGTACGAGCGTAATAGTCCGGGCTAAGGGTATTTCGCTGCACACAAACAGATGAAGATTGGGAGCCAGGCATAGGAAAAACAACTTTCAACGTTGAATAACGCACATTAATGTACGACAAGATATCGTCATCACATCCCATAAACTGCCACTCACATTGGACATGATTTGATTTGTGGTCTTCATAGACGAATATAACGTTCATAAATATGATATTTACAACTCAAAACCAGTACATATTTTCTCGACTCTTCCCAGGCACAGACCAACACATCAGTCGACATTAAACAGAACCTGCCCACAAAGGACGCCAGACAACCATCACAGAAGACCAGGGGTGCGAATATGAATATATTCGGTGTCTTGTTGCCAGCAGGTTGAACCTAACACCGAACTGACATTGTCATTCTGTGGACGTATGAAACGCTCACATGTCTGTTGCAAAACATAATGTTGAAGGATAGAGATCCAATATTCCTCGTCCCTTCACAGCTTTCGTGCAGCAATCGTGAGATGTCAGAAACCTTGCTGTGACATTCGAGGCCTCTCGGTTTATTCCATTACCTACATAAATACCCCGGACAGAATTGAAGTACATTCGTCACCACTCGCATGTTTCCGTAACCTACGGCTTATCCCGGAATGGCACGAGTTGGTCACGAATGCAACGAAGTAGAGTGAGTGAGTGAGTGAGGTTTTACGCCGCTTTTAACAATATTCCAGTAATATCACGGCGGGGGACACCAAAAATGGGCTTCACACATTGTACCCATGTCTGGAATCGAACCCGTGTCTTCTGCGTGACAAGCGAACGCTTTAACCACTAGGCTACCCGACTGCCCCCGCAACTAAATAGAGGTAATGCATGATAATGCTGTGCGATGTGGGGCAACACACACACATACTCTTTTTTATATAATTGTCACCGCATTTTGCCCTTTACCCACAGTGGGATATGTTTCGTCGGATAATCGAGACTGGTTATTCTCTGGCGTTGACGTTTTATATTTACTGTAGGCCGAAAACCGGAAATTCCTCCGCATAATGTTTATACAAGCTCAAGATCAATTAGACAAGCTCAATTAGCTCAATATATACACGTGAACTACTTTCTCTCCTACCAAAAGACTTGTTGATGATGTGTCATTGATCGCAGCTCTGAGTCAGCGTTCCACAGAACAGTGTCTCATTTGTGATGAATTTCGGGAAAGGTTGGGTTTCTGAGGTTTCAAGTTCCATTTCCAATTACTCCCTTGTTATGGGTTTGGTGAAAGCCCTTTGTTCTGCGGCTTGGTACGTATAATAAAAAATAATTACTACAAAATATTTGTAATCTTCCAATATTGACAAATTATAGTAAGAATAAGACTAACATATAAACCTGGGTATCTGTAGTTGAGATTGTTTACAATGCTGAATCCTCATTTTAAAAGTCGACACATATACATCTTTGAGACTCAATTAATGTTTTAGAACAAGTCTTTTTTTTGTAACTGTGAATTCGTGATCAAAATACAGACCCTTCTAAAAGAACTAAACGTATATAGAATTAGTAGTGAAGTCACACCATCTTAATCTATTATATCTCAGTCGGCGATAATACATAATACTTTAAGCAACAAGGAAATTGAGGGGATTGAGGTTGCCGATAAAAAGTGTACCTGCGGTCTACATTCGTCCTTAAACTAAGCTTCGTCTGCCACCACTATTACACCAACTACAACAACTAAGTGTACTACTACTGCTACAAATACTCGTCCTTCATCCACGCTTCTTCTGTAACTGCTACTGATTCAAATACTACGACCACGCCAACTTCTGTGGTATCTCTACTTCTGCTAAATCTACTGGTACCACTAATGCAGCTTCTAATACTACTGCTTCTACTAACATTAAAGACCCGTGAATATCAAGCACTGGATTGTCTGGTTCAAACAAACAGTAACTATCGTTGCTACTGATTCTCTCCTACGTCTACTGATGACACTACAGCTGCCCTTACTACAACCTCTACCACTACTACGATTACTACTGCTACAGCTTCCCCTACTGCAAACCCTGCTAGTACAGTTGCTATTGCTATTTCTTCTGCCACCTCTATTGCTACGACCACGACTACTACTACTACTACAGTTACTACCACTATTGCTGCTGCTACTACTACTGTTGTTGCTACTACTACTACTACTACTACAACTACTACTACTACGACTATATTTTCGGAATATCTTTTTTTAAAGGTGAGGTGAGGTGAAATGGGGTTTAACGTCGCGTCCAAGATTATTGCACTTATATAGCGACGTGCATGCACGTGTATGTGTGTGTGTGTGGCTGCTTGTACTAGTCCGCACTGCTGCCGATTAATAGTGCTAGCCAACTGAGATACCATGTCGCAGTTAAACATGAATACACAGACACAGTATACTGACTCCGAGCCGACCAGTCCTTGTTTTAGCCCCTTAATGCCGAGCGCCAGACAGGGTAACAACAAGTACCATATTTTAACGTCTTTTGGTATGACGCGGCTGGGGATCGAACCCCGGACCTTCCGCTCTCCGGGCAGACGCTCTACCATTAGACCACGGAGGCGGTCCTTTTTTTGTAAGATGTAAATCTATAATTCATTGTATTTCAAGAAATGACCCACACAGTACACTAAACTGAAGCCAGGTGTAACTGAATATTAGACGTTTTAAATATACACCCAAACAAACGGTTCACTGCCCTATCGGGACCGGAGATCAGGTCGTGTTTCCACATTGAACGAGCTCTAGATAAAGGTTACGTCTTCTGATTAGAAAGATCAAACAGCAATCCAGACACGTTTTAAATCAAGACAGAAGCAAAACGGTAAAAGTTTACGAAAATAACAACGTGCTGGTGTTGTTATCGGCTTTTGCGACGTAGCTCCAGCAGAACAGGGAGTGTGAACAGCGATTTGAATAACTTGAATTATTTCTCAAGGTCGAAAATGCAGAGGAAGCATAGACTCCCACACAGCGTGAAACATGAAGACGTGGTGTATTTCATTGCACGCGACCGTAGCTCATATGATTGCCTAGCGCGTTCCCTGCGGGAAATAGAACACCATCGGAAGGAGGGGAAAAGTACATGAATTATTTGGATTTCGAAAGGGACATCAAATCTGTCTGTCATACACTTGATTAACCTTTTGTAGTATGAAAAATGACTGTTGATTAGTGCCTTTATCCACAGATCATGCATTATTCAGACAGCTGGTCACTTTGGGGAACATACCATGTTTCAACATTACAGATTTTGCGACAGTCGTCTAACCGCCAGACATGTTTGTCGCTGAGTCAGCTATCATATGTGAAATATCAAGTCTAGAGTACCATACATAGATAGTTGTATATCTGTTGCTGTGTTAAATAATAATTGTATGTCTTAGCACTAAGGTAGCTTTGTGCAAGTGGGCCTTGATTAGAGTGAGTGAGAGAGTGAGTGAGTGAGTGAGTGAGTGAGTGAGTGAGGTTTTACGCCGTTTAGCAATATTTCAGCAATATCACTACAGAGCTTCAAACGTAAGTAACAGACACGAAACAAGCAGCTGACTTAAGCACACTTATTAGGTTTTAGTAATACGTCAAATAATTCTCCTTGGGAAGGCAAAGCTTCACGTGTTATATCGTGTCAAGTGTGTCTTTACTGGTTTAAAGGACAACAACTATCCACAGTATACACGGCATTTGTCAGCTGCCCTATTTGAGCACTGGGTCTTAGTGGGTAATTCTCGGTTGGTCTGGGGCACCGCTATTCGCTGTGGATGTGTTCGTCCCTTAGGCTCCACTGGGTTCGAATCCATGATTATTATCCTTGGTTTATCAGGACCATAGACTCGCTCGTAGGTTCCAACAAAGTGATGCACGTCTATCAATTGCATCAACTGCATCACTTTGGATCCGGGTTAGAATTGGTCTTCAGCAACCCATGCTTGCCGTAAACGGCGACTATGCTTGTCGTAAGAGGCGACTAACGGGATCGGGTGGACAGGCTCGCTGACATGGTTGATGCATGTCATCGTATCCTAATTGCGTAGATCGATGCTCATGATGCCAATCACTGGATTGTCTGTTCCAGATTCGATTATTTACAGACCGCCGTCAAACTAATGACGGCGTTAAACAACAAACAAACAAACACTATACGGGGCACAGGGGGGCAATTAAGACGGGAAAAAATATGCAGAGTTGCGTCCCTCAGTAGAGGTATAATCCGCTGATTGTGTGCTTGACTAAAGTTCGCACCGATTATGACCCTTGGTTATCAGTGGCTTTCAAAGATTTCAAAGAACGCCATACTACTTGGTCAAACCCTTGATCAAGGTAACAACATTCAAGGCCTCAGCAAAACTACAAAATGGTTTTATGGTAGACATGTGGAGTACATTTGACGCATCAGTGACAGAAATTAACATTAACTTGTAACATATGTTCGCGTGTTTATTTCAGGTGTACTTATCTTTGCACGTGTTTGTGACGGGCGCCACAGGTGAGGCAGGATACAGTCACCTTTTCGTGAACATATGGTATCATTACTATTTGATGGTGATTAAAAAGCACATGATCCTGAAATAGTCGGAATCGTATAAAGGACTCTGCTTAGAGTTTATTTAGGATTTTGGGAATGATTTTTGTCGCTTTCATTTGAAGAGTGCAAACGTCGTGTCTCAGATACACGGTACTTAGCTTCAGACTACCTACCTGCATAGGGGAGCTCTCCGCAGACAGCTTGGTGAAGCCGCAGATGTCGCTGAAGTAGATGGTGACGGAGCTGAACGTCTCGGGGATGACCGGCTCACCACGCTTCAACTGCTCGGACACTGACCTATACAAACATGAAGCAAAATATTAATAATTAATCACTCAGTTTAATCGGTAATAAGGCCTCATGCCAACGTACATATATATACAATTTATTTTCACGTCGAGTGCTGCATGAAATAATGTTAACAGGTGGTCAGAAGAACGAAGACAGATAGCATCTTTAACATAATTGGCTAAGTTCTCAAGACAGTTTACATCAGAAGAGTTTAACATTCTAACCAGTGTGTCTTTACGATCATTATAAGTAATAAAGTCTAAATATGGGAAATATTTTGAGCTAATATCTTCATAAATAGGGCAAACAAGAATGAAATGAATTTCATTTCAACTGCCCTTAACTTGCACAATGGACAAAACCGGAGTGTCTTATCGATGCCATCCCTCCTTCCTGTGTTATGCATAATTCCCAGTTCTCCAATATATAAAAGGGTAAGCATACGTCGCTTTTCTTTTCATAATACATTTAATAGATAGTGATAATGATGCCTTAAATAATGAATACAGTTCTAATTTGGAGCATCCAGACACTTCAGAATACCATGTTTGTGCATGACAGTCCTTAACCCTCAGTATAAACTCACTTATAAAATATTCAGGATCACCAGCACCTTGAAATTCCCACACATGTCCGAAGCCATGAGAATATAACATGTTCTTAATAGCAGAAACCCATGTATTCCTACCAACGGCAATCAACCTAACTAACATATCGTAACACCGTTTTAGAAATCTCTCTTATTAAGAAGCTCAAACCAGTATTTTAATCATCTTGTGTAAGAATCAATATAAATACCATATCGATTAAAATATTAATAACATGTCTCTGGAGGCTATGCTTGTCGTAAGAGGCGAGTAACGGGATCAGGTGGCCAGGTTAGTTGACTTGGTTTATGCATGTCGTCGTATCCCAATTGCGTTGATCGATGTTCATGATATCAATCACTGGATTGTCTGGTACAGACTCGATTATTTGCAGGACGCAGTCATATTGATGGAAAACTACTTTTTCCATATTTATGAGAAATCTCTGCCAGAAGCAGAGGCGATTGTACGATTCCGATGACCATGAGCACGTGTCCGTGAATCAGTATCAAATAGTATTTCTAAGATCGCTTTGTTTTCGCCCCTATAATTCTGAGATTGAGTTAATGTCGCTGCATATTGCACAGTGACCCAGTCATGTTAGGCGCCGAAATTCGCTGTGCAGAGTTGCGTCCCTTAGGGTGCAAGAAACAACGATCGTGGCTTCAAATCCCAGACTGACCCTGATGATGTTTCTAGGTTCATAGCACCAGTCCGTACTCGTGGGTTTCACCAAAGTGATATTCACACCAGTATACACAACTACTTACAACTAACGAAGTAGGCATGGGTACAACGATTTCCCTGTATCTACCCAGTGGCGACATTGCACGTTTCTACCAGTGCTACAAGTGTCCTACGACATTCTGCAATCCCCCCACACCGAGCTGACACGCCGTATTTTAACTGAAATGATGTTCAAAGCAGCCTTAATGTCCATAAATGATGTCCGATGCAATTCCCTTGTTTGACTTGTACACTGTTACCGTGTTCTTTCGGACGAACGATTGACTTGCCTTTTCATGTGTTTGTGCAAGTGTCACCGTTGGGGCAGGATACGATCACCTCTTCATGAACACCTAATATCATCACTATTTAATAGTGATTCATAAACACATGTTCATGATGAAGTCGGAATCGTACAATCGACTCTGATTTTGGGAGATTTCTTATTTCTGGTGGTTTTGTCGCGTTTTTATTTATTTAACCGAACCCACTCCACCCATCGCTGTTCCTATATAAAGATCGTCTTGGCTTTCTGTTTATAGCGAAGTATAAATGTATCTTGACTCACTAACATGCTCTACTCTCTGACATTTACAGATCTAGGAGCCGCCCGCAGCTCCTCTAATTATAGTTTTGACCATATAAGGCAAGATAATACGTTTTCTAATTAACTATCATAAATAGTAACTATACCATTCCATCTACGTATAATCACCATTATTCAAAATATCAGGAAATTGCATTTCAAATGTCATTCCTTCTATCTATTCCATTTTTGTTCGTCATATCGCTCGTACCACGTTTTCTATATCTGTTTGTCTCACATGGCAATATTAAAGTACAACCGAGAAATACCAGGAAAACGAATCTAAACTTTATATTTTCCATTAAAACAAAACACCAGATTTTAAAATATGAATACACGTTTTACAATGATGAAGCATTGACACATACGGATACAGTTTGAAATGTAAAGCTCGCGAAATGTTTAATAGTAGACACTGACAATAAAAAGATACTTAGGGTATGTATTTGTAGAAGTGGTGTTTTCAAAGTTTCTTTTTCTAGTATTGCTTTCCCAGACAATGACCGTTAATTGATACTTATCTCTTATATAAAGAAAAGTAATTACGACACGAGAGCGGGGTACAGTGTCAGCGGTCCTTTTCCATGATGTATAAAAATAACCAGTATCAATATCCCTTCCCAAATGAAATGTCCTGCTCTGAGAGTGACAAACACAACTGACGTATATGGTGCTCAATAAAACCAGCGATCAAATGAAATCTGTGTGGCCCCAGGCCGCTGTCAAGGCGGGATACAGGTGTATTTCAAAGGTGTTAAAATGTTTAAACGTCCCCCGGAAAAAAACTGTTGACTGACATTGGTCATTAGCCTGGAGGAGAACTGTTTGCAAATGTTGATAGCATATAATCACATTTATCCAGACTTGGGCCGTGAAATAATGCGTCTGTCTTCTTACTTGGGTAACAATATATGAATCTGGGCGTCCGTATGCTAACTCCGGTAACATTCTTACTTGGGTAACATTATGTGAAGTAAGACGTCTGACTACTTACTTGGGTAACATGTGAAGTAAGGCGTCTGACTACTTATTTGGGTAACATTCTGTGAAGTTAGGCGTCTGACTACTTATTTGGGTAACATTCTGTGAAGTAAGGCGTCTGACTACTTACTTTGGTAACATAATGTGAAGTAAGGCGTCCGTCTACTTACTTGGGTAACATTCTGTGAAGAAGGGCGTCTGTTTTCTTCTTCTCCTCGATGAGCTGCTCCGTCCTCTCCTCGACCAACTCCTCCAGGTTCTCCTGGTACTTCTCCATCATAGCGAGCATATTGTCGAAGATGTTCCTCTTCCTACAACCACACACATGCACATTACCATCCCTCCACTCCCTTCGTATCCACCAGTTACAATAACACTTACCCTCTTCTTCAAGACCAGTTGAAACCACACTTGTCCTCGTTTCACACTATATATTTGTACACTAATCGGTGATGTTTGAGAATTAGAACCGACTTTGTTTCATCTATGCAGTCTGAATTAACTGTCAAAGATCTCTCGTGTAACATTTGTATAAAATTGATACTGGATTCAAAATGTTATTTTTAACGCCAGTGAAGTAATACAATGGCATATTAAAAAAATAATGTTGGAATGACTTCATTCATATCAAACAAAGGAATTCGACAGAATAAAATTGTAAATTGATGAATACTTCGTGGCGTAAAACAATGTACCTCAAATAAAATGGTTAAATAAATATGTGTACAGTATATCTAGTTATGTGCTGAGTTCTTAAGTAATCAGTATGTTTACAGATTCTCAAATTATGCGTTTACTAGACAGTGTTTTAGTGCTATTTTAAAATAAATTTGACAAAATGGAGGGTAGCTCGCTCCTGTACAATTTAGCTTGCACTAATTTAGGAGCATTAGCAACATACCTAGAGAAACGATACTTTGTGAACAATTATATGAGGATGATTACAACTTCCTCTTATGTTAAAGGAGTGAATAAATGAGACACATGTACAGCCTTCATGTCACCTGTTCACCGTCGTTACTTTACGAAGCATGTACATGTTTATAAAACATGTTATGTTGCTTAGAATCAAATTGGTAACTTTACCACTTAGTTTGTACTATAGGAATGTTGCCTTGTGGCATTGAAAAAATTCATTCATTCGTCTAGAGAAAGTGTAACGGTATGAAGAGAATGTATAATGGTATGAAAAGAATGTATAGTGGTATGAAGAGAAAGTATAATGGTATGAAGAGAAAGTATGAAGAGAAAGTATAGTGGTATGAAGAGAAATTATAGTGGTACGAAGAGAAAGTGTAATGTATGAAGAGAAAGTATAGTGGTATGAAGAGAAAGTATGATGGTATGAAGAGAAAGTATGAAGATAAGTATAATGGTATGAAGAGAAAGTGTAATGGTATGAAGAGAAAGTATAGTGGTATGAAGAGAAAGTGTAATGGTATGAAGAGAAAGTATAGTGGTATGAAGAGAAAGTATAGTGGTATGAAGAGAAAGTATGAAGATAAGTATAATGGTATGAAGAGAAAGTATAGTGGTATGAAGAGAAAGTGTAATGGTATGAAGAGAAAGTATAGTGGTATGAAGAGAAAGTATAATGGTATGAAGAGAAAGTATGAAGAGAAAGTGTAATGGTATGAAGAGAAAGTATAGTGGTATGAAGAGAAAGTGTAATGGTATGAAGAGAAAGTATAGTGGTATGAAGAGAAAGTGTAATGGTATGAAGAGAATGTATAATGCTATGAAAAGAATGTATAGTGGTATGAAGAGAAAGTATAATGGTATGAAGAGAAAGTATGAAGAGAAAGTCTTATGGTATGAAGAGAAAGTATAGTGGTACGAAGAGAAAGTGTAATGTATGAAGAGAAAGTATAATGGTATGAAGAGAAAGTATGAAGAGAAAGTGTAATGGTATGAAGAGAAAGTATAGTGGTATGAAGAGAAAGTATGAAGATAAGTATAATGGTATGAAGAGAAAGTATAGTGGTATGAAGAGAAAGTGTAATGGTATGAAGAGAAAGTATAGTGGTATGAAGAGAAAGTGTAATGGTATGAAGAGAATGTATAATGGTATGAAAAGAATGTATAGTGGTATGAAGAGAAAGTATAATGGTGTGAAGAGAAAGTATGAAGAGAAAGTCTAATGGTATGAAGAGAAAGTATAGTGGTACGAAGAGAAAGTGTAATGTATGAAGAGAAAGTATAGTGGTATGAAGAGAAAGTATGATGGTATGAAGAGAAAGTATGAAGATAAGTATAATGGTATGAAGAGAAAGTATGAAGAGAAAGTGTAATGGTATGAAGAGAAAGTATAGTGGTATGAAGAGAAAGTGTAATGGTATGAAGAGAAAGTATAGTGGTATGAAGAGAAAGTATGATGGTATGAAGAGAAAGTATGAAGATAAGTATAATGGTATGAAGAGAAAGTATAGGGGTATGAAGAGAAAGTGTAATGGTATGAAGAGAATGTATAATGGTATGAAGAGAATGTATAGTGGTATGAAGAGAAAGTATAATGGTATGAAGAGAAAGTCTAATGGTATGAAGAGAAAGTGTAATGGTATGAAGAGAAAGTATAGTGGTATGAAGAGAAAGTATGATGGTATGAAGAGAAAGTATGAAGATAAGTATAATGGTATGAAGATAAAGTATAGTTGTATGAAGAGAAAGTATAGTGGTATTCAGAGAAAGTGTAATGGTATGAAGAGAATGTATAATGGTATGAAGAGAATGTATAGTGGTATGAAGAGAAAGTATAATGGTATGAAGAGAAAGTATGAAGAGAAAGTGTAATGGAATGAAGAGAAAGTATAGTGGTATGAAGAGAAAGTGTAATGGTATGAAGAGAAAGTATATTGGTATGAAGAGAAAGTATGATGGTATGAAGAGAAAGTATGAAGATAAGTATAATGGTATGAAGATAAAGTATAGTGGTATGAAGAGAAAGTATGAGGAATGAAGAGAAAGTATAGTGGTATGAAGATAAAGTATAATGGTATGAAGATAAAGTATGAAGAGAAAGTCTAATGGTATGAAGAGATAGTATAGTGGCATGAAGAGAAAGTGTAATGGTATGAAGAGAAAGTATAGTGGTATGAAGAGAAAGTATGATGGTATGAAGAGAAAGTATGAAGATAAGTATAATGGTATGAAGATAAAGTATAGTGGTATGAAGATAAAGTATAGTGGTATGAAGAGAAAGTGTAATGGTATGAAGAGAAAGTTTTGTGGTATGAAGAGAAAGTATGAGGAATGAAGAGAAAGTTTGAAGATAAAGTATAGTGGTATGACGATAAAGTATAATGGTATGAAGATAAAGTATGAAGAGAAAGTCTAATGGTATGAAGAGAAAGTATAGTGGTATGAAGAGAAAGTGTAATGGTATGAAGAGAAAGTATAGTGGTATGAAGAGAAAGTATGATGGTATGAAGAGAAAGTATAAAGATAAAGTATAATGGTATGAAGATAAAGTATAGTGGTATGAAGAGAGAATGTAATGGTATGAAGAGAAAGTATAGTGGTATGAAGAGAAAGTGTAATGGTATGAAGATAAAGTATAGTGATATGAAGAGAAAGTATGATGGTATGAAGAGAAAGTATGTAGATAAAGTATAATGGTATGAAGAGAAAGTATAGTGGTATGAGGAAGCTTCTCACATCCCCGTCCGCATGGACTTGAGTTTGTTCCAGATAATCTTGAAGTCGGGTCTGTCTTCAGGCTGCTCACTCCAACAGTCGATCATACAGCGGACTGCATAACTCTCACAGGTCAGGGGCGACGTGTCAGGGCGGAAGGGGTTCGTCATTGGGGCCTTTACTAACTCCACCACCTCTGTGGAAAACAGACAACGTGATTTCAGTACACCTCACATATTACTCTTTTATTCCCCCTTGGTGTATTTAAACTCAATGAGAAGAATAATACGCACCAATCTCTGCATGAAGGTGGCTAAAATTGAAAGAAACAAGAAATTGCTATTCCATGATGATGTATTTTATACGGGTATCATGGGCGATATTACAGCCATCAGATCAAAGAGTGTCTCAAAACAGGCGACTGTTTTCAGCCTACGCTTGCAATTTGACGATTGTCGAATCCAATTTTGAATTGTATACTCTCTTTTGCACAGTGGTTTATCAGCACTACATTTTTATGTGTACGATTCTTGAACATTTGATCCTTTATTGAAGCTTTTTTAGATTTTATTTTTCTTTCGTACATTTTTATTCAGCATTTCTCCATTTTATCTCTTCAGAATTATTAATGTCTTTCTCCCGTCTCTTTAAACATTACACTTCTCTGATGACCTATTTACAAGGTTTCTTCTTTGAAGGATATTTTCCAAGGAAGTATTTTGTCATTAAGGCAAAAAAAAGTTTTGCACCAAGATGGAGCTCTTTATGATATACTTCTTTGGCGCATCAACTGAGATATTACATATACATTAACTTGCAATTTTCTCCACTTAAACCTTACCAAAACATTTTTTTATCAGGTTTTCTAATTTCCCGTTTAGTTCCTGAACACGACATACGTGTGATGTAGGAAGCAATACATCTTCGTCTTCGAAAGCTGATATATTCCAATAATTACCCGTTCTCTAGGCAATAATCTGTACTCACTCAGCGGCCTGGGCAGATTATCAGGTATCCCCCCCCCCCCCCCCCCCCCCCTCTCCCCATGTTTCTCGAGCCTACGAAGAAGGACTCACCGACTAGATTGACGTGTTTGTAACATCCTATTGGTCAGCTCGTCAGTCTGTGTTTCTATACACTGTTTCTTTAGCGTCCATGATTTACAATTTCTTTTCGTATTCGGCTCCGCAATCAATTTATTTCACAGTCGTTGTCTTAGGATGCGATCACTTTACAGACTGTTTAAATCAAACTCTTTGCAGGGGACCGCCGAGAGGCATCATCAAGAAGGGATGCGACACATAAAACAGGTTCAAGACGAACGGGACCTCTTGTAGATGCACACGCCAAATTACTAAAGTTTCTCGTAAATGGTAAGCAATAATGACTGTTATTGCGGAGACCATGTAATTGCCTTGTTGTGTTTGATCGCGATTTTTTAATGTTTAATGACACATATCCTTTCTAACACTACACAAGGTATTAGTACTTCTGTCACCGTCATTTGTTCAGTACGATGGAAAGTACAATGGGATGAATTGGATTCGTACGTTAACACGACGCGAGAACAGAACCCTTTGTCCTGAAGCACTTGATAATGATTGTATGTGTAAACATTACAATGTTTATGTTTACATTCTTCACTGATGGAGTTTGTGAAGCATTATTGTATATTCAAATTGAAGACCGTCACGCGTATTCTGGTACACATTGATTGCTGGCTGTGATACATGTCAGTAAAGTTGATACGAGATTACTTTCGATAAGATAAGGTATTTTCAGAGACAGTCTCAGTTTCCTATTGTCTATCTTGATGGGCTTGTCGTCGCATAAACAGTGAATCATAATGATACATATTGTCTTGCTGTCGGTATCGGGTTCCGGTCCGGGAGATCTGGCAGCGTATATTAAGCTGCCGTTGATGAGGTTTCAGAAAAGGATGACATTCCAATACAAGAAAAAGTAAGCAAGGATACAGAGGTTGAGGGTCACTCTCCATCAGAGACCTGTGAAGATCCGGGTTAGAATTTGGGTTGCTTGTTCTAAGAGGCGACCGACGGGATCGGGTGGCTAGGGTCGCTTGATGCATGCCATTGTATCCCAATTGCTTAGGTTAACGCTCGATATGCCAATCATTGGATTGTCTGTTCAAGATTCGATTATTTACAGACTGGAATATTGCTGAGAATGACTTTAAACAAACAAACAAACAAACAAACAAACAAACAAACACTCGATCAGAACTAAAGCTCGACTTGCATCGTCTTCATAATGTTTGTCAGATATTTCGTTCGGGTTTTACGTTGTTTTGTTATATCACTATCCAGTAATATCTCGGCAAGGATAACAGTTCTTGGCTTCATTCTACCATGTGGGAATCGAACCTAGGTCTCAGTGTGACGAACACACGCTTAAACCACAAGGCTAACCATCGCCCTTCACCGAACTAAATGTTCAATACCTATGTCATACCTATAATGATATACTAGTCTGCAGGCAGAACATAAGTATGCATGGAACCTTGAGGGAATCGACCCCAGGTCCTCAGCGTGACAAGCTACAACTTTACCTTGCCACCTACCAGATGTCACCAAACAGAGAGAACACGTTTCCTTTAACTGGGAATAGTGAGTATGGTTTTAAGACGCTTTTAGCAATATTCGAGCAATATCACGGCGGGGGACACCAGAAACGGGCTTCACACATTGTACTCATGTGGGAACTCACACCTCGGCCTTCTGTGTGGTTAACCATAAAGCTACCACATCGCCGCTGTGTGATACGGGACAGGACATACTGTAAATGTATTTTTGCTTGTTTTACGCCGTAATCAGCAATATTCAGTGGCCTCTGAATAATCGAGTCTGTAATGGCAAACTAGCAGTTGATATCATGAGCACCACCCTACATCGTCGGGGTACGGTTACACACAATCAGGCAAGTCACGGGCCATCCGATCCCCATTTCTTAACACCTGGTGTCATTACTGATTTTCAGTGGTTCAGTCATATAATGTTCACAGCCATGTTGCCCTTTACGCAAAATGGAATTTGTTTCGGCAGATAATCTAGACAGGTTATTCTCTTTCATTTTCTCTTTCTTTTATATTTACGACAGGGGTGGGGGGCACGGGTGGCCCAGTCGTCTAAGGCGCCGCGATTCGCAGAGTTGCGTCCCTTGGCCACGCCAGAAACCTATGTTTCTGGGTTCGAACTACGGTTCGCCCCGATTATGTTTCTAGGTTTGTCAGCACAATACCCGTGCTCGTGGGTTTCACCGAAGTGGTAAACGTCTGAGACTTGCATCACTTCGGGCTTTCCTCCAACATTAAGCTGACACGCCGTGATATGACTGGAATACTGTTAAAAGCAGCGTTAAACCAAACTCACACACACTACGACAGGGGCGGTGTAGTGGTTAAAGCGTTCGCTCGTCACACCAACGACCCGGTTTCGACTCCGAAAATTGAAACAATGTGTGAAGTTCATTCTGGTGTCGCTGTCAGAACGCTAAAAGCGGCGAAAAAAATCTAACTCATTCACTCTTACGACAGCCATGACATAAGTGGGACCTATTTTGATCCCGAATCAACACATGGTCAGTTATATATGTGATCTCTTCATTGTCAATTTTTAAGGCACAGAGGGTGAGGAAGACAGCCAATTCCATATTGAAACCGATGCTGCCTCCCGTAAAACGACGCCCTCAGAAATGGACACGCGCAGAGAGAGGTGAGGTGAGGTGAAATGGGGTTTAACTTCGCGTCCAAGATTATTAGCGATTTTAACTTATATAGCGACGTGTGTGTGTGTGTGTGTGTGTGTGTGTGTGTGTGTGTGTGTGTGTGTGTGTGTGTGTGCCTCTTCGCGCGGCCGGGGATCGAACCTTGGACCTTCCGCTCTCCGGGCGGACACTCTACCACTAGACCACGGAGGCGGCCCACGCGCAGAAAGAAGAATCAGTATAAAACGAAATATGAACACCGGTCCATGTAAACTAGGTTCTTCGTTCCTCGACATCCAAAACCATGGAGAGTGTATAGTTTGATTGAGGCACTATTTTAACCTTTTCCATTCGTCTGGGGCTTAGCTTAGATCGATACGACTGAAAACGTGTTGGTTTGACAAGGTACCATACACCTACACGACACATCCATACTCCCACACTGACACAAACATCGCTAGTGACGTCACTGTTAGTCATGATAGACACTAAATGGCCATCAAACTCCCAGCATGCCAATGTCCGGTCAGTGACATCCACACACTTCCCGTGATGGAAACTCACTTCATAAACACATCTGCCAACATGACAGATGGCATTGAAACGACAATATGTCTTAGACGGAATCCGTTAAAACAATGGACGCATTTAAAGGTCGAGTGAGTCACCAGCGTAATACACAGAGATTATATTTTATATACGCTGATTTTACCACACGATAATCTGTTTAGTTTGAATTTTTGACTTTTCCATTAAAGCTTGATATAACGGATGCTATAAAATCCATGATAACGTGATAGTTTAGGAGTGTTGGTCTGGTAATACTGAAAAAATAAGACTTTGATTTAGCGATATTCACATCGTAATTGTATTGTGAATCTCAACATTATGATCACGTAAGTGTATGATTGACGGTCGGATCGGGGACGCACGCCAGAAATGCATCATTGAACGTTTCCGTGTGTGTGATTCAACTTACCGTCAGCATCAGCCCCATCTTGGTTTACTTAATCAGCATCATTTACATATATCGCCATCAATTCAAAATTCGAGGGGCGAATGCCCTCTGCTTTGAAATGTCGACGGAGTAGGATACAAGAGGCAATTGTCAACTACACTGCTGGGCAAAAATAGTATACACATGGAAATTGGATTTGCCCAATAAATTATAAACGTTATGGAAACGGTACTAGGCTGTAAACAGTCGCCGAAACATAAGCTCTAAAACACAAGGATATCAAATATGTCATCATCTAATAAATGCGTGTTTGTTTCATTTTTAAACACCTTCAAAAATAGATGTATACTTTCTTTTGTCCAGTAGTTTACACTATCGACGATTCGATGATAAAGAAATGATAAAGAAATCAGTGAATGTATGAAAATGTATGAAATCGGTGACCCGTCCAGTGAAACAGAGGCTATGCGTGTTTCTGTTCTGTTTGTCATGATTTGGTCGGGTTTAGTGAAGACTTTGGCTTCATCTACAGTCACAATGTTCTGTCACATTCAGTAGTGAGTGAGTTGGGTTTAACGCCGCTTTGAACAGTATTCCAGTTTTATCACGGCGTGTCAGCTTGATGTGGGAGGAAAGCCCGAAGTGATGCCGGTCTCAGACGTTGGCACTTCGGTAAAACCAACAAGCACGGGTACGTTGCTGGCAAACCTAGCAACATCATTAATGTGGGATTCGAACCTGGACCCCCAAGGGACAAAAAGCTGCACATCAATTTGAAACTAAGGCTACTGAGCTATCCGTACCCCTTGTCAGATTCAGACGGTGTGGCGATCGATAAAGTGTCCTCTTGCAAATGTCATGTCAAAGTTATCTGTCCAGAATTTGTTTGGCACAATATACTAGTATTGCCCACAAACAACAACAATACAAAATTCTTCTTGTCTGACAGCCTAACATACGGGTTGGACAATTTAGGAAACTTAAGGTATTTACCCACATCCGTACATATATACGTTAAAGGTATTCATCGAGCCCTAATTCCAACCGCTGCTTTATCCAAGAACGAGGCCTACATTATCGTGCTATTCAGCGACAGCGTAATGTTCGACGCATAATTCGAAATTGGTAGTTTTTGACTCATTAGGTGACGTGTTATTTGAGGTCTTCTAGACTTCGGGTGTTGCTGGATGGCCTCCTATAAGGGTGTCCACTAGTACGTTTAGTGTCCACTGCTTGTATACCAGGGATCCTTTAAAAACACACTGTACGTCAGTCTACCGCCGCCATGTACAGGGCTGCTGAGAGGTGTCCAAGTCCAATCATTAAGAAACGGTGTCATGTATCAAAATAAAAAGTGAATTAATTCCCGGTTTACAACACTTTCCGCATTGATTGCATGAACAGTTGTATGGGAGAAGAACCGTAACCTTGATCTCGGGGATGCCATAAGATCTGATACTAAACATTACTAGATAGGGGTCATGATCCATGAATATATTTGGGGATATTTGAATGGAATTGTGAGTTCAGTCATCACTATAACAAATATCGCCAAACATGAACCTCTCCCCATTTTTTGTTCAGATTATATGTCCTTCTTCTCCAAAGCTTCTTTGCAGCTGAATAAACATCATGATACATTACAAACAAAAATAACATTTTTTATTCCTATGGTGCTCTCTGATCTGTAATCATTATGTCTTTTAGCTATCTTTGGCAAAGCAAACACACAAACGACCTCTGAAGGTTTGGAATATTTTCGATAAAAGCTCGACCTTCTCAGCGTTATTTCGTTTATGTTTTGGAATGTAAATATGGAATAGTTATTCGGAGAAATCAGTTATAAAAAGAACACATTTGTGATCACGGGTTTTTCCTTTTCATCAAACCACAAGTAATCGTTCTGCCACGTCTCCAATAACACGAGATTCCTCAAGCATGTTTTCGCAAACTTTCCTACATGTTTGATACTGTTTACAAAAACATTAAACGAAATATGAATTTGAGTAGCACTGTAACGTAGTATTGCTATGGCGTCACTGCATGGTAATCTGATTGCGTCATGGCGTCACTGCATGGTAATCTGGTTGCGTGGCGTCATGGCGTCACTGCATGGTAATCTGGTTGCGTGGTGTCATAGAAACGAATGAGGACCCCAATGGAAAGTGAATGAAGGAAAACTTTCAGCAGAGTGGGCAAAGTGAGCAAGTTGCTATATATACTAGGCCTCTGAAGTAAAGGGCACCCTTGTTCTGCATTCGGACATTTGTTTTTCACCTTTGTTTACTTGATGGAATATACAAATACGTAATGTTACAAAATAGTGATGCTTCACTCGAACAACCTCTTTAAACAGATGATCATGATCAGTTTGTTTAAAATCATAATTAAAAAATGCTTAGAGGCTAACATTTGGATGAAAAAATCTAATAAATAATTTGTTGTGGTCTGAGTTTTGTTTTACACGGCTTTAAACAGTGTCCAAGTTCTATCACGGCATCAGAGGTAGAAAGTGGTGAAAGTCTTAGACGTTTACCACACTGGTGAAACCCACGCAAACGAATATGGTTGTGACACACCAAGAACCATATGGTCTTCGAACCTACGATCTAGGTTTCCCTCACCCCTAAAGCCTTAGACAACTATTTTTATTGAACCTTCTTATCGTAGATATATTTTACCACAACAAATACAGACCAGCGACCATCTTAACGAAATATTTACCTTTAGGAGACAGGTTACAGAATCCATAGGGTCCCGCTCTACCGAAGATTTCATGAAGAATAATGGCGAATGCGTAGATGTCCCCTTTCTGAGTCCCCGACGGCGCCTGTTTCCGTAGCAACTCGGGTGCCGACCACAACAAGTCTGAAACAACACCATGTGGCACTGATAACACAAATAATCAATTTCTCAAAGCTTTCATTGCTTAAATCTTTCCAACTTAAAGGAATTGAAAATTCATAGAAAATACGCTTCAAAGAAAAACCGGATGGCAAGTTACTATAATTGAACTCAGCAATATTACGTTAAATATTTAACTTAGCATCGGAAATATTTCACTTTCAGCGAAAGCTTAACAACTTCCAAGATAACAATATTGTCCCTAATTCATAATATCACGCTGCTTTCTGTCGTGTTTGTACGAATTTGCCTTTAGGTTTGACATATGGAATAAAAAAAACCCAGTTGCTAGGCAACCAATATGACATTGTAATATTTTGCACATGAAAAAAACTTAGATGCTACAAGGTATAAAAAAATGTATTTGTTGTTGATTTAGCCAAGGCCATATAATCACCCCGCAGACATTGAAGGCGTGAATCTTGTTTCCAATTCGCCCAGGTCGAGGCCCAAATCTATACCTAAGTATGTTAGACACTCCGTGACGTCTGTAAGGATGTCTTGGGGAGATATGACGTCAACGACATAACTCTTCAACTCTTTGTCCACCTTATTAGGTCACATGATAATCGCATTATGCCCATGATGAAATAAAGCGCCTATGCGGTCATTGTGACTGTGGTGCGCTTTTTGAATGAAACCTGTCTGAAGCGTAGTCTCGAGTGTTTCGTGCACTCGATCTAACAGTGTATTGAATAATGGGAAGATGTAAAAATAGTCAAAATTATCCTTCAGGCTTATCTTTGAAAAAAATAAGAATGGGATTGAAGCGCTGCTGAAAAAGATACCACACTGGTATTTTTGTATGAATAAAAGAAATGATTTTTCTGTTTCTTCTGAAAGGATTCGTAGGCAGGGGTGGCCCTGTCCTCTAAGGCGTCGCAATTCGCTGTGGAGAGTTGCGTCCCTTTGGCACACCAGAAACTTATGATTGTTGGTTCGAATTACGGTTCGCCCCGATTATGTTTCCAGTTTTGTCAGCACCATACCCGTGCTCGTGGGTTTCACCGAAGGAGTAACCGTCTGAGACCTGCATCACTTCGGTCTTTCCTCCCACATTAAGTTGACACGCCGTGATAGGACTGGAATGCTATTTTAAGAGGCGTTAAACCCAACTCACTCATTCTGATATGATTCTATGCAAAGTCACGCATCTGAAGGACACAAAGCTTTACTCAAGTTATTTGATTATTTAATTGAAACTAACGGTTTGATTTGACAGTCGAGCGTGAAGATCCGGGGTAGAATAGGTCTTCAGCAACCCATGCTTGCCGTAAAAGGGGACTATGCTTGTCGCAAGAGGCGACTAACGGGATCGGGTGGCCAGGCTCACTGACTTGGTTGATGCATGTCATCGTATCGAAATTGCGTGGATCGATGCTCATGCTGTCAATCACTGTATTGTCTGGTCCAGACTCAATTATTTACAGACCTCCGTCATATAGCTGGAATATTGCTGAGTGCGGCGTTAAACAAACAAACAAACAAAAATAACACTGCTTTCATGGTTCACGTGCTACAGTTATCTGTGCATCACTGTATTACGCTACATAAAAATATCCTGTTAAACCTGCTCGCACGAGCGGACAATTCTGATCGGTAAAACAACTAACTATGTTGTTTAACGCCGCAGTCAGCAATATTCCAGCTGCACCATGGCGACCCGGAAATAATCAAGTTTTAACTTGTGACCAGTGACTGTCAGATATTGTGAGCAACGCCACCATCGACTAACGATGACACGCTAACGAAGTCACTGAGCCAGACCGCGCGATCCAATCTGTCTGCTACAAGCATAGGTTAGGGACCGGCCATTTGACATTCTGACCCCAAATTTTATTTTTACCAAAACATATATCTTGTACACGGTATTTTTGTGGAAGACTTATTTTTTAAACAGCCTGAAACATGACTATTTATTCAGGCAATTTCTGGGCCAATCTATTCTTTTCGATTTTTCCCACCCTCCCCAGAATATCAAATGATCGGTCCCCTACTGGTGCCGGAACCCCCCGGGGGAACCAGCTAAAGAGATCCACATTACCTGTCACCCTGTATAATATTCTCTGGTGTAACACCCTCACGGACACATCAGCGACTACGTCCACAAATAACCATCATAAGTACCAGTATCATCATCGTAAACGCAGCCAGAATGGTAACACTATTACATAAGACAAATCTCATCCCCTACTGTAATAGTAACCCCAGGCATAGTGGTTGGGCTAACATCTGAAATCCTGTTACACCATAACATATATAAGAACACGACGACCGGTTTGATTTCGTGTTTCGCAATACGACCCCGAGCCTTTCGTCACCACTCGCCCCTTTCGGTAACCTGCAAGGAGACTCGACCCCCTATCGATCAGTGTTATCAGGTGAGGTGAAAAAATGGGGTTTAACGTTGAGTTCTAGATCTTATATAGCAACGTGCATTCGCTCGCGTGTGTGTGTGGCTGTTAGTACTAATCTGGACTAATGCCGATTTTAAGGGCTAGCCATTTGAGATACCATGCCGCAATTTAACATGAATACCCCACTCAGACACAGTGTACTGAATCCGAGCCGACCAGTCCTTGTTTTAGCCCCTTAAACCCGAGCGCCAGGCAGGGTAACAACAAGTACCATCTTTTAACGTCTTTTGGTATGACACGGCCGGGCATCGAACACACGACCTTCCGCTCTCCTGGCAGACGCCCTATGCACAAGACCACGGAGGCAGTCCAGTGTTATCTGAATGAGCGTACTTTGATTAAGTATACTAAACGAACAGTCAGTTAGTTCACCATACGGATTAACAGGTTGTTGTAAATGGCAACCGTGATATATTTAGAAAAAAACGTGTAACCTTACAATGCAGATGCGGATGTGGTACAACTTGACTTTCTAACGCTACGCCCATTTGTGTGAAGGCGGAACCAATTTGATAAAATGGTCACGAAAGGACACGAGTCACCATACGGCTTTCCTCGAAAAAGCATGAGTGATCACGAATGGACTCCGAGCATGTCTTGATCAGGAAGGAAGATCAGAACGAAACCACTTACTCCTGTAGTATGCGTGCTCGTCCTCCTTCCGGTATGTCGCCGCCCTGACCTCTAGCAGGCCGAAGTCGGCCACCTGCAGTGTCCACCAGCTACTCACAACACAGTTGGAGCTCTTCAGGTTGCCATGGTAAATCAGCTCGCTGTCGTGGAGGAAGATCATCGCCTGTGGACATGGTAGAGTAAACATACATGACACATGTGCAACTGGTCAGCTATAAAAGAATCAGTGTGACAGGTTTTCCCGCTTTTAAAAAAAAAGTCTAAGAAGGTATAAGCATGTGCGCGCGTGTTTGTGCGTGTGTGCGTGTGTGTGGTTGCACGACTAATACCGGTTTTATAGTGCTAGCCCACTGAGATACTGTGCAGCAGATTAACATGAATACTCCACTCTGACACAGTAGGCTGACTCCGAGCCGACCAGTCCTTGTTTGATCCCTCTAATACCGAGCGCAAGGCATAGAAACAACAAGTCCCATCCTTTAACGTCTTTTGGTATGGCGCGGCCGTGGATCGAATTTACCCTATGTAGCTTTTTCAGCTTTCGTGCACGTAGGTCTTTACATATCTTTTCTTGCTGACCAAATTGCAGGCTTCACTTATACCTGTACTTTGCTGCGGTGAGAAATGCAGAGAGGTGCAACATCTCGCTTATTATGATTTGTTTTTGTTGTTTAACGCCGCACTCGACTCTATTCCAGATATATGACGGCGGTCTGTAAATAATCGAGTCTGGACCAGGCAATCCAGTGATTGATATCACGCGCATCGATCCACGCAACTGGGAGACGATGACATGCATCAACCAAGTCAGCGAGCCTGACCACCCAATTCCGTTAGTCGCCTCTTACGACAAGCATTGTCGCCTTTTACAGCAAGCATAGGTTGCTGAAGACCTATTCTACCCCGGATCATCTCTGGTCCTGACCCGAATAAGGGGTTCACTGTCACGATGTGCCACGTGCCACGTGGGGCAGCACACTAATTTGAAGATACCTAAAAAGCATAGAAGTGGAATTATTTTAAAAATAGTCTACTCATGGTTTAAAAAAACCCAATAGATTATACCCAGGAGAATGTATTTATATTGACCCCCCTAAAAAAACAAAAAAACAAAAAACAAAAAACAAACAAAACAACAAAACAACAACAAAGAAACAATAGGTACAAAATGTGAATGATAGCATGTGAGTAAATACTCAGTGGCTCAAAACATACTCTTGGCCCCTGAATCTATCAGGAATAACAAACCTGCATAACACTTCAAACATTAAACTTTGGGTCGCCACTGCGGCTAAATCACGTGACGAGAACTACTTCCAATATGGATTCTTCTTACTGCCAGCCGAGATAACTTATGAGATTGAGTCGAGCCGAATGAGTTAACAGAATTGTGCAAAGAACACAAGCGCCTCCAGCCGTCGAGGACAATACGCCGTCCGATGGTGCCCTGGACGTTGATCTCTCCAATACACATGTAAATGATGGCATCATCGTCTCCTGGTGGCTTTTTCCAGCCAAAAAATAAGTTCGGTGCCTATGAAATCTCGTGGGATGGTTTGCCATACATATTAACGTTGTTCACCACAGATACGTGAACAGAAACCAGATACCAGTATCGAAGGGAAGCACTACCGTAATGACAGGAGACGGCTAATTTGAAGTGTTCTCTTGGTCTGAACATTAAGAAACAGACGCTCTTTGACATCTTAATTGCATTCGCGTGGAGCGTATGAGATTAAAACCTAAAGATAACTCACTCGTGTTATACTTTCATTCTTTAATGAAGTATTGTTGCCAAACAAAGTTGTAATGTCCCGCGATGTGTTTTATAGTCAGACATGTCTGTCACGAAAAAATACCTGACGAAAATAGATAACGAAAGTAACGGATGCTGGAGACAGCGGACTCTGGCTGGGCTCGTTGATTGGATTTAACCATCAGTGTCAACCAGTCAGAAGGCATCTCTGTTGCATGAAGCTCATTCTAATCAGGGGAGGAAATCACGACTGTCTTGCATGCAGAAACGCAGAAACAAACGGGAAAGACAATTTGATATTCGCAACGATGTAAATTTTGTGGCAATTTCTTTTTTTTCGCATCGATATGAAGCATAATTATTCCTTTCAAGAATTTTCGCTCACAATGTAATTTTTTCGACAAAATCCCAGCAAAACCTGTCTTCTCAATCAACAAGAACGATGGGAAGAAATGGGAGCTTTCTCCGGAGTGATAGAAACAAAGCAATTAAAACTTGTAAAAAATAGAATGTTAAATGGATTTAAAAAAAATAAGGTAACCTTTTTAAAGAGTCATTCTAACTGATTCAATTTCAGTTAACCCTTTTCTTGTCTAGCTCTGAAGTCTTAATGTTAATGTTAAATGTGACATTAATTTCGATGTATGAAAATACCTCGAGCCTAGAATCACATGATGATTGAAAGTGGTTATAAACGTCTATCGGAAAGCAAAGCGTCTAGGGTCATCACGGTGGACATTGCCCTGTGTCATTAAACGAACGTTCCAAAAACTCATATCGTTGTGAAAGTGATTTAAATCAATGTCATGGTTCAGCAGACGCGAAGGAGCCAGCCTCGATGGAGCCAGACACGGTGGGGCCAGGGATTGAAAGGTTCATAGAGGAGCATCAGTTTGAACCAGGTAGTCCCTGTAGGCGTTGTGAAACTTACAATGTTGATTTATTAATTCTTAGTTGGACCGCCTCCGTGGCGTAGTGGATCGAGCGTCTGCCCGGAGAGGGGTAGGTCTGTGGTTCGATACCACACCGCGAACAAAACAAGGACTGGTCAATTCAGAGTCAGTATAACCGTGTCTGAAGGGGTATTCATTTTTAATTGCTGTATGGTATCTCAGTCCGCTAGCATTAGTCCGGACTAGAAAAGACACCATACTCACGTCCATGCAAGTCGTTATATATGTAAAACAGTCTTAATTGCGACGTTAAACCTCACCTCACCCCACCGTCTCAGTTCAAAAGGTAAATACTAAAACACATAGACATACGTTTAGGTTGGACTAATTATAGCATACGTGACGTTCGTGATGTCACCGGTAACTGACGACACAAATCGACAGCAGCAGAACCACCTTAGGTAGAAGACACTGCACTCAGAAGTGGGTAACTGCAGCTAGACAGGGAATAAGCTGTAGGGCTGGTTACCTGTAGGAGGTCCTTGATGAGGGACGCCAGGAACATATCGTCCAGCTTCAGGTCTTCATTCTCCAGGATGTCCTGCAGGGAAAACAGCATTATACATTACTTTCCACGCGAGACATGGCTCTATGACACAGTATAGGATGAATCGTAATTTACGGTCAAGTAGGTAATCAGATTAGAGGTCCGCTCGGTTGAGGGGATATGCAGATGAGGATGTAAGGTTGGGATGAGGGTGAAGGTGTATATGAGTATCAGCTATATCGATGATCTCATATCTTTCCGATAAATGCCTTTTGGTGATATTTTGTAATATGGCCTCGGGAAAACTGAAAACGTTTTCCCCATTTTAAGATAATGATGCGTTGAATGAGTATATGTTAAGCCTCTGTCAAACATTTGATTTTTGAACATCACTATAACACAGACACAGTCAAGGAAACACTTCATTCTTGGATCCATATTGCATTTGTCACTAAACGTGGTGTCCAAACACACACTTACATCACTATCTTTAATGGCTCGGGACTATTTGTCCAAAGATGTCATCTGAATTTTATTAATTAAAGAATATGTGAATACTGGAGTTTCTCATAGATGTGACATTTGAGGATTGTATATTTAGGCAAGAAGCAGGCATACCCGTGGTCACCAATTATGCTCTCCTCCAAGTTGATCTGTTTCTTTATGCCTATGATATCGGACTTTCTGCCACGGATTGGAAAAATCGAAACAGGCGAATTTGATCAGCTATATCGATGATTTGATGTCGTTCAATTATACATATTAAATAACCACGCTTCGTCTGTTTCATGTGTAAATCTATTCATTAAGATTCAGAGTGACTATAAAGAAGCCACAAGATTGTACCATAAGAGGAACGACTTCAACTTTCCAATATTCAATTCCCTTCATGTCGAGCAATATTCTAGCAACTACAATTTCTTAGATTTCAAAGAGCGCCATACGACTCTTGGTCATTGTTTCATCAGGGTTACAACCTTCAAGGCCTTAGTAATGCATTCAGAACGATTTATGGTGGACATGTGGGGGACTTTGTCAAATGTCCGATGCAATATCCTATTTTGACTTGTACCATATGTTGCTGTCGTTGTTCAGGTAAACACTTGACATGCCTTTGCATGTGTTTTACAACGGGTGCCACCGATGGGACAGGATACACTCACCTTTTCGCGAACACATATCTTAGTATCATAGTGATTAGTGATTAGGATATAGTCATACAATGGACTCTTCTTTTCTGTCACTTATAATTTCATTGATCTTAAAGCTTCTAAATGCAACTATTTGAGATACATAACATAAATTTTCCGATGAGTTTAATTCTGTTTGTAGAAGCAGAAATGATCTTGCAATACTCTATAGCCTTTAAATATTATTTACAAAACAATTTACTCGAAACGATTAATGTCAATACACTTCTTCAATAACCGCCTTCAACAACGACGCTCATCATATCACTGTTTTTAGCTCGTAACCCTAAAATGCTGGAAAATCGGGCAGAGTGTAAAATATTATTTTACATACTTTAGGACACACTGTGCATTTCGTGGTTCACAGGCACCAACCTCGACATCTTGATTTGTTTGAAACAGTACCATTCTCCCTCAGTGTAGGTTGTACAGATTTGCTGACGGTGTCTGGATACCTTCACCGACTCACGTCCCTAACCCATATGCAAAGAGTATTGACCACAGCCCCCGACAATACAATCCGGACTAATGAATTCGTTAAGGTGCATTTGGAACATGCTCTAAAATGGAAAGGCTACCGATCGATCAGGTCAATAATTGATGAATTCGTTTAAATTCTCTGAAACACCATGTGAACAATGTGTGAAGTCCATTTCGGATATCCCCTGCAGTGATATTGCTGGAATATTGGTAAATTGTAACCGATACCCCCTGAAGTGATATTGCTGGAATATTGCTAAAAGCGGCATTTAACCACACTCACTCACTAAAGCACCGTAACAGGCAAAACCGTTCGGCATTGGGATACATGGGGACGATTTTATGGCATGATAAACCTTAATGAAATTAGAATTTGCATACCATGATTACCCAGCGCTCGACATGTCCCATCTATCATATTAATCTCCGACAGCATACATTTTGACGGTAAATTCAAACTTTTTAATACTCGCCAAAGAGGAATTTAATCTATCTTCGCGCCCCAGGCGCCAGTCTTTCGCCCGGATAAAGGCAATAAACCCATGCAAAAACAGCAAGAAGTGGAGTTATATCTTTATCTCTCTAGTTTCACTTGATTTATGACATGTTTTTAGGTAATGGTGGGGTGAAAATACACGCCGATCTTTCGCACGTTTGAGTTTCTCAACCTGCAACATTGAATGGATGGGTGTCACGTGACCTTATACCGGTTGATGGATACTGATGGGCAGATGTATCCTAAAGCCAGTTATTAAAGTATATCACTAAGGTTAATGGTTAGAGATGAAACAGGGTTATCTTATTTCGATCATAATGCTACGTTGTCTATTCATTATGGCAAAAACGATGAGTGTTGAATCTTTAAGCTGTAAACGTCAGTAGTAGTCTAATCACTCCGACTAACACTAAATCTCATGGACTGGGGAGATTAAAAGTATTGAGACGTGACTTGGGCATAATTGAGAGGAAGAAATTATTTGTTCGGAAATTATCGTGACGTTCCTTTAAATATAGAGGTCCAATGAATTCGCGAACACGTTCAAATCTGTTCTTTCTATTCGTGTTCTACATTACTGGAAAGCAAAGATGGTAATGTTTCAAATAGAGTGTTGGAAACCATGGCGGTTTTGTAGAAGAAAAGTTGAATAAATATGAGTGTAGAACGCAACCTGACTAGTTAAAAATGTTGTGCTATGGGTTTCGATCTCGGAAATCCTCCAAATATTTAAAGGTGTATGAATAATTGTCTTGAATTCAGATACAGGTGGAAATCGACCCCACGACCATGCTAACGATCTCCTAATTAATGAAATTAATACAAGCATGAAATTTATGCGTCAAATGCAAGCGCCCCTTGCTCGTATGTTTATCTAGGTGTACAAGATTGAGTTGTGACGTCAGAGTCAAGGCACATTCTTTATATACTTTGAACAGAAAAAAACGTAACTTTTGATGATTCCTAATCCATTTTGATAACCAGATGGCTCGGTTGTCATAGAGGCGTATGACGTCATCGCTTGTGACGTCATGTTCCTCTCACATCTGTTTGAGTACCGATAGAAAGTGCTAAGGAAAACACTTTGAATTTACAAAGTCCATGAACACTATGATTTCACGTCGTGAACAGGGGTTTCAAATAAAGTTCAGTATATTTTTTATATAAATTTTGCCTTTTGTGCCCAATTAAAACTATTTCGTAGGATAGTCGAGACTGGTTATCGTCTGGCATTGACTGTTTTGAGTACTCAATGGCACCCGCAAATCTGAGAACACGCTTAGAAACAGAAATAGGCTGATCATACATTTACTAATTTGTAAATTCAAAAGAACATCAATCTATACGTTGTCTCACAGCGTTAACACCATGCGAGTTGACATTAGTATAGCACATACGTCGTGTTTACCCAGGCCAAGAATAAACTACAAGAACACTTTACCAAAAGTAGCACCATGAGTTTTCACTTGAAGAATAAGCTCTCTTTACAAAGCCTTCCAAACATTACACAGTTAAACATTCCAAAAAGGAAATACCATATTGCCAAAGTTTGGCAAGATGGCATTTTCATGCAAAGTTACACGAGCAATCTACATAAAGCATATGCAATTTATCAATTGCTACAATTATGTACCCGGGGTATAACTACATGTTCGTTTAAACTCCATAGATGACTAATGCTTTCTACAGATGTAGGTATTATCATTGGAAAAAAAACCTTTCCCCAATTTTGGCAACAGCAGTTTTTCAATGTTCTTTCGAAGGTTGTAAAAGTAGCTTTTTTCGTCTAGTGTTTTCAGTCGTAATTTTTTCTTCCAGTTTACATTGGCATTATTTTTGGTGCAGGCGCATTGTCTTACTGATAAATTGGTAGGGACATGACGTTCAGACAGCGCTATAACAAAGTATTGTATCACGCTAACTCGGAATAAATTCATATAGTCCGCATACTCCATCATTCGGAATAGAAGGACGCGCTGCTAATGTTCTTTAGGCTCAGTTTCCAATTATAACGTCCAACTGGACACTGCCATTAGACCGGAGGAGGATTACATTACATTCATACAGGGCGTTGGTTGACTAAAGTCTGACAATTCAATCATATGAACTCGAAAAATCTATAAATGATGATATATTGGGTCTCTACATGTTTTAGGCGACAAAAAATTAATGTTTCTCGGGCACATTTACTCAAAAATGAGTAGGAGGTAGGAGTTTAAAAAGTAAATTATGAAAAATAAAAGTGATGGGAAAGAAACATTTTTTAAGTTTTATCCCACGAAGAATACCAACAAGGTGATGTGAAATTGGGTTTAACGTCGCGTCCAAGATTATTGCACTTATATAGCGACGTGCATGTACGTGTGTGTGTGTTTGTGTGGCTGCTTGTACTAGTCCGGACTGATGCCGATTTATAGTGCTAGCTCACTGAGATACCATGCCGCAGTTTAACATGAATACCCCACTCAGACACAGTATACTGACTCCGAGCAGAACAGTCCTTGTTTTAGCCCCTTAATGCCGAGCGCTAGACAGGGTAACAATAAGTACCATCTTTTAACGTGGACGCTCTACCACAAGACCACGGAGGCGGTCAGAATACCAACAAACACAAATAATCACACATTGAAGTAGGCTTTTTAATAAAGTGTTTGTTGTCAAGCACGTCTGGATAATATGACGGGACATTTAAAAATTAAAGATAATCTAAAACGAAAGAAAAATACGCGTAGGGTATAAAGTGAAGCGCACGTGCCAAGAAACATTTACATTTAAACAAATGGGCAGGGGTATATGGTGCTGAAAAACCTAGAAGACATGATCAGGGCCATATGGGATTCGCAACCTAGTATTCTGGCACGAATAAGGGACGCAACTGTGCATAGCAAAGTGCGGCGTTTTTGGATGGTGCGCCAAACTTCTTCTATTCATATGAGCAATAACGTTAATTACCAGGGTGTCAAAGAAGATTCGTTAGCGCCGATATATTTCGTATATCTTGCTTACAGTCAATGGAGACAATTCCTTTCTAGGATTGTGTCCCTTAACGTTACTGTGAAAAGTCAAAAATAATTTCGGGAACAACATGTTTTGAACCAATCAGATTGCAGTACATCCCCCTATTCATTTTACAACAGGAGTCATCAGGTGTCGACATATCCCCCAGTTCTGGTGCAATTTGGAAATGGAGTTCAGTTACTAGGTTTCCTACTCCACGTTTGGTTCTTTGCCATTGGACACCTTTAGTTCAGTGAGGAAAAAAGCCAATGTTGTTCAGTTTTTTTCAATATTCCAAATCATGAAAAGGTACCAGTTCACCACTATACTGATCTGCATAGCAAGTTTCATTTTAACATATTAAACGGTTTTGGAATTCTGTCTGGAAATGAGCACCATCCTTATTTTCAGTAATGTTCAACATGTCGTCATGACCTCCCCCCCTCCCCCTCCCCCCCAAAAAAATAAAAATAAAATAAAAAAATCCCACATCGTCAAAAGGCACCAGTTCACCACTAGAATGATGTCTTCAACAAGAAATATTCGTTGCCTTATTGACGACGTTTACCTGAAGACTTCCTTTACTGCAGTACTCTGTGATGATGATGAAACAGGGCGGGTCGATGCAGGCGCCGATGAAGGCGTTCACCTTGTCGTGTCTCAGATCTCGCATCTGGAACAATAAAAAACACACGATTTGAACTTTGCGTGGCATTAAATAATCACTTAAAGCTACGACTGGGTAGAAGACAGTGATGTGTTATCTCTATCGATTAGGTGACAGACTATTTCCCCGTTCATTAGCCACACACCAGCTGGTGAAAACGAAGCATTTTTATATTTCATACCACGATTGAATATAATGTTTATATAGCCCAGGTCACCGATGAATAATTACTACATAGATAATAACGAAATCCCCCGGTTCGAGGATTACTAAAGTGCAGCTGAATCCCAAATGTCAGGTCAAACGGCGCTAATTGTGGTCCCAAACATCTTCTTGCTTGTACGAGAGACGATATATTACATTGCGGTGGTCAGTGACTTGGCTAATGGCGTGTTATCGTACTCGATTCGTGGATCGTTGCATCATTGGTGGTTCTTTGTTATAACATACTGCACAATTGTATCTCTCTCTGGACTTGACATGTATGGTCAGTATGATCACGTATGGTAATTTATTGTCATGCATTTTTATGTATCATTATGTATTGTTATGTATTATCATGTATTGTTATACATTGTCATGTATTGGTATGTATTATTATGTATTGCCATGTCTTGTTTTGTATTGTCATACATACTTATGTATTGTCATGTATTGTTATGTATTGTTATGTATTATTTTATAGTGTTATGTATTGTATTGCAATGTCATGCAATTGTCATCATGTATTATCATACATTGTTATGTATTATTATATATTGTTATGTATTGTTATGCATTGTCATGCAATGTTATGTATTATTGTGTATTGTCATGTATTGTTATATATTGTCATCTATTGTTATGTATTATTATGTACTGTTATGTATTGTCATGTATTGTCATGCATTGTCATGTATTGTTATGCAATAGTATGTATTGTCATGTCTTGTTTTGTATTGTTATACATTGTCATGTATTGTTATGTAATAGTATGTATTGTCATGTCTTGTTTTGTATTGTCATGCATTGTCATGTATCGTTAAATATTGTCATGTATTGCCGTACATGGTCATATATCGTTATGTTTTGTTGACCGCATACGTGGTCTAGTGGTAGAGCATCTGCCCGGGGAGTGGTAAGGCGAGCGTTCGATCCCCGGCCGCAGCACACCAAAATGTATTAAAAGAAGCTATCTTTGTTACCCTGCCTGGTGCTGGTCATTAAGGGGCTAAAACAAAGGACTGGCCGGCTCGGAGTCAGTAAACTGTGTCTGAGGTGGGTATTCATGTAAAACTGCGGCATAGTGTCTCAGTGGGCTAAAATAGGCATTAATCGGACTCTATCTCTCACACACGCACGCACACACACATATGGATGTCGCTATATAAGTGCAATAATCTTAAACGCGACGAAAACCACATTTCACTTTACCTCAACTTCGCAACACGCTACATCGCAACATGTGTCACGACAGCGACCATATATACCCAACATGTTGTCATGGATATTTGATGAAAAGTATTCCATTGACTGAAACTTACGAGTTTCATATCTTTCTTCATCTTCCTGTTCACATCAAAGTTCTTCAGCTCATAGATCTTCAGGGCAACCACCTGTCCCTTGTAACTTCCGGTCTGCGCGAACAGCTGATTGAGTGACAGCTTTGAGTCGAAGGACTGTTGACTGCATAGGGTCATCTGAAACAGAAAGATACATGTACAGTGATTGAGTGAGTGAGTGAGTTGGGTTTAACGCCGGTTTTTACACTATTCCAGTTATATCGCAGCGTGTCAGCTTAATGTGGGAGGAAAGCCCAAAGTGATGCAGGTTTCAAACGTTTACCACTTCGGTGAAACCCATGAGCACGGGTATGATGCTGACAAACCTAGAAACATAATCGGGGCGAACCGTGATTCGAACCCACAATCATAGGTTTCTTGCGTGCCCAAGGGACGCAACTCTGCACAGCGAATCGCTGGGCCTTAGACGACAAGACCACCCCTGCCTACGAATCCTTTCAGAAGAAACAGAAAAATAATATATTTATACCATTGTGGTATCTTTTTCAGAAGCGCTTCAATTTCACTCGTGCCCCCAACAGCAAAGGGACATAACTCTGCCTGGGGAATAAATCGCTGGACCTTCAATGATGCTTCTTACATAACAAATTGTACTTGAGCAAAAGCCTATCACCACCATCAGAATCATCATCAACCTCACTACCACCGCCACCACCATCATCATCATCATGGTTATGATAACTATTATATTGTCATCTCTCTTATTTTCTCTGTATCACGCATCCTCTCCTCACCCTGTGTCAGATGTTAAATGTTGTTTCTTACATAACACAGTGTGCTTGAGTAATAGTGTATCACAATTATCACCACCACCATCACCACCACCATCACCAACATCATCTCCCTCATTCTCTCACTAAATCCTACTCACACTCTCTGTCCACCCCCCACTCGCCCCCACCGTCTCTTTCACACTCACTCTTAATCACTTTCAGAGTATCACAGGAAGAGGTCAGGGTTTTATGAGGTGTTAATAAAACCATTAATAACACACCAGGAAGGAAACAGGGGGCTGATTAATCATATTCTTGTATCAAACCCAGTGCAAAGAATTGACTGAATAATTTCAGCATTGACAAAGCACACACTTGTTTATAATATAATTGTAAACATGAATGATAACATAACCATAAGACGAGCGTTAAGTTTCTGTTTATGAAGATAACCTACTTTATACATAAAAGTATGACAGGCTAGTCTCTTATTACCCATGCAATAACGAGCCACAGATAACTCGCCCACTCAACTTTCCTGAAATCAGCTGCAAAGGAAGTTCCTGTCATGACCTTACACCGTTAGCTTCCTTAGATAAATAACAATACGTCTTCTTATTCATCCTTACCAAATAAAATAAACACTTTGTAAGCAAAGATAAGACACCGTATCATCTACAAGCGACTTAAAGAAACAAATACTACGAGTTCGCGACGTGCATGATGTCAACACCGAGGTGATATATTCAGAGATATTTCAACGATGAATGTTATCTGATCCACGCGTATAAGAAACTCATAAACCAAAATCTCCAGATAATCATGTGTCGACATATCGCCCATCATCAATACGCTTCAATGTAGTTTATAGAACTTAGAGAAGTCCGGGTTCAATTCCACGAAGCCCCCGACAAGAGGTCTGTGTTTGAAGATGACAATTCTAGTTTTAGGTATATCGAGGTCCTTGGTTTATTAGTCACCCGAACCTTTGCTCCAGTTACAAAGCGATCTTTAGCACTATGACAATAGTTATTCCAGGGTGTTAAAAATTCGGGTCAATATCAAAAGAAACAACAAAACAAAACAAACGAAACAATAACAACATAAAACAGAACGAAACAATAACAGCAACAACAACAACAACAAACAGAATTGTTCGTTTGAAATTTAGGATGTCCTGAAGTAAAAGTGACAAAACCATTGATCATAAGAAAGCACCCGTAAAAACAGAAAAGAATGAAAATATATTTCGGCACCATCTCTAGAAGCAGTGACCGAAAAATATTCCATCTCTAACAAAATAACAAATATCTCCCACCCCCCACCACTACCTCCCAGAATATAAAACAATCGGTCCATTAAGTTAGATGAAAGTCAAATAGTCTTCTACTAACACTGATCACAAGTATCGGATGACGTTACCGTTACTCGGGTAGAGTCACCGCGTAAACAAAAACATGCGAAACCTTTCAGTAGCTCCACACTGTGATGGTATCGACTCCTATTGGGATAATTGATGTAGCGAACATCAAAGCACATTGAGTACGCTCCACAATGTATAAGTGTGTTTTTTCAAAGGTATTGTCTCCAAGGTTTTGATTCACAACAAACAGACGAGCATCAGGCATGAAATAAGAATATATCCCTGCCATTTTATAGTTGAATCCGTACTAAGCAGACTATAAGATGCCCATTCTCATGCGAACTATCACTAAAATACGTTTGGGAAATGTAATTAATAGTCAACATCGGGTTTGTTTTTTGGATCGTAAAAATGGCTTTCCCACTTAACATCGACTCCCATTTCCGTACATTCTTTGATAATAATTAGGTCGTGATATTTTTGGAAAGGCCTTCAGGGGTTTCAGTGAGTAGGGTCTTCCGGCGCTTTTAGCCATATTCCGGCCATAACACCGCGGGGCATACTACGAATGGGCTGCACACATTCACCCATGACGGGAATCGAACATTGGTCTTCGGCGTGACGAGCTAACCTTTTAACCACTTGGCTACCCAATCGCGTTAGGGTCCTGGGCCTCGTTTCACAAAGCTATCTTAGATCTATGAGATCAGCCGTAAGTCTATGTTAAGGTATGGGATCACCACAGCGCAACGGTCGCGTTGGGGTACGGGGCCCAACCACAAACAAAACGATCTTAGCACTACGTCGATCGTAAATGACATATTGAACATAGACTTACGGCAATCGTACAGCTTTTCAGAACAGGTTCCAGGGGTTAAGTACCGGGGCTCACCTATTTTCATTTGTGTGCTCGAACTCTTCGTGTCTACAGGTGCATAGCTGTTGACCAAATACGTTTTCAATCGAGATACTTGCTGTGCATGTTTTGGAAAAGAACAATGGGATACAAAGAAACCCAACAATATTCTGTGATGTGCACTCTGACAGAACTTCTGGAGGCCCGTACAAATTCAGTATCGGACTCCACAAAGATTTTAAACGAGCAGCCTCAGAAATTCGTTTTTATACTCTTCCAGAGGACTAGTGTAAACCTTACTTCACTTGACCTCAGAGTCTGTTGCTAATCCTGCTTGGAAAAGACAAAAATATCTTGTCTCATGTGTGCCCTTCAGAAGGTCACCCAGTAGGTCATCCGTCGGCCCGTCTTACTATGACCTTTACTCTGATACCCCTGTACTGTCACAGGGGATAGACGGATCACTGTTAACACACAGCCTCTTGAATTATATTCTGTCGATTTTATTCAGTTCCATTTTATAACAAAACATTGAGAACTGGTTCAGAAGTATAGAACTCAAATAATACTAGTCAATACGGACTACCATCGTTTTTAACTTGCCCTAAGCACAATTTACTAGTCTCTGACTCCCGGACTAGCATGACTAAGAGAAAGTGTGAATCGTGGCAATGCATTAGTGACCGGTAGATGTCTGTTAGTAATCTTACCCGGCTTCCATGCTTGGCTCTGTCCACAGACTGATGGAGGTTGTGCCCAGTCTTCAGGTCATTGATGTCAATCTTCCACAGCAGACCAGCAATCTCCTGCTCGTAGCGCCAGTTCCTGTTCAAAAAAAGGGAGGTAACTCAATTACATCTACATCTCGAGTTCTGTTTAAGGAAGAGAGGTAACTCAATTACGTCTAGCTAAATCTCGGTTAATACTTGCATCCCTCCTTAGGCATACGTGTATCAGTGCTGTGAATTGGTTCCCTTAAAGTTATGTAGTTTGGTGTATAGTTGCATATCAGATTAACGTGGAAGGAATGCTAAAAGAGATCTAGATCTTTGACGGTTACAACTTTGATGGAACCCACGACAGCGGGCATGGTGTTGATGAATCAAGGATCATGAATGTGGCGAAACTGGGATTCGAACCTTTCACCTCAGTTACGTGATGCCAATATGCACAGAAACTTCGTCGGATCAAACCACTCAATATGCTTTGAGATATGTTATGGAAGACGAAAACGTTTGATAATATTCACAGCAATGAGTTAAACTGCCCATAGGGGTCTTTCACAAAACACAAGACACGCGAAGAACGTACATATCACTTCTGATATATATGCACGACGGACAATCATCTGTGTGAATGAAACCAACAGTTTCTATTATTCATTCCGTGCAATTGCATTACAGAAATCGAGGAATATGTTACCCCGATGCCGCCACCAACACAGAACAGACCCATAACGGTACATGCATATGTATATATACAGATATCCGTGTATACAGATCATGCAACTGTGGAATACGGTCGTTTTACAAGCCTCCGTGGCTATCGGAAGTGTGCAGCCTAAAGCATATTTCCAGTTATAGAGACAGAAAATTGTATTCATGTTTAGAATTTCAAAACGCATATTGTTTTGTTTGTTTGTAGAATCAGTATTCACCATCAGCTCTTTCACGTAAAGTACGAATCATCAAAATGGATTGCAGGGAAGAGTAAAGCCAATAGCATTAAAATCAGATCTTCTACTCCTATACGATACCCCTCTGCGAGAAGATCTGACAACCTCCATAGAACTTGTATCACCCAATGTAAATGTTTTGGTTCTTGAGCTTTAAAATGATCAGGAAATTTCGATTTAAGCCAAAGAAAACCCACACAGTTCACATATATTGCTTCGATTGGACTCCCGCTCAGAAACGACAGGGTGTATAAACTATCCACAACAACTTAATATACAATATTATTTACATTCGGAACTGGCCGTTTAACTTTGTTTTTGAGATACAGGATACGCTGATCTGAATGCTTCGCTCACTTGTACTGAGAATGTAGAGCCCTCGACACTGATTAGGTGATTAGAAAGCTCACCCTCGACCTCATACAAAGGGATTGTCAGATTTTGAGATAAGTACCGTATCTGTCAGAGAAAAAATCTGAAATTCATGAGATTGGATCATAACCTACAATTCCATCACGTTTTACTTTCAGCAATATCCCACCTACAATATCTACTACCACAGAGGTCACCAAGAATGGGTCGCACTGTTCTGGGCTTCTAAGTCGGTCTTTAACACCGCTGGTTCAATTTCAACCCTGGAAGCCCATTTCTGGTGTCCTGTTGCCGTCATCTAGCTGTAATGACGCTCAAAGCGTCGTAAATCAATACTCACTCAATCCAAAGCCCTGTTATTGCCACGGGAAACAATGTCAGTCACTGTCCACAGCAAGCCCATTTCTAAACACGTTATTTAATACCACAGCTGGTGTTTCTCTATCTATCCCGCCGGACTATCTTATACAATCATTGTTTACAATAACCAGACGCATCCACCTTGAAGCGGTACGTAATGACAGTTGTTTAGTATGTGCATAGTGTGACCTTTAGAGTTCCATAGTTCATCCAGGAGGTCATGCAGTAGGCCATCCAGTAGGTCATCCGTCGGTCCGTCTTACTGTGACCTGCACTCCGATATCCCTTGTTCTGACACAGTGGATAGACGGATCACTGTTAACACACAGCCTCTTGAATTATTAACCAAATCAGAAAGTTATACATGCTCGACATGCCGACCTTTGATCTTACTCGACTCTCGCAAAACAATGTTGCCACGAGATGCTCATTGAAGAAGGGCCATTGTCTCGCGCCTATTTCAGTACTAGATCCATGTGGATGGCTCACACGTCGCGGTAATTCTCCGTGCAGAATTTCGTCCCTTGGGTGTGCTAGATATCTAAGATCGCGGGTTCAGATTCCGGCTCGACCGAACTAGTCAGGTATTGAAACACAAAACCCATGCTCGTAGGTTTCACGGGCTTTCCGTTTGAAACAGAAGCTGTATGAAATCAGAACTGCTATATATGAATGCGGAAGTGCTAGCTTGTGATATAGTTAAACCCCGTCATCCCGGACGGTGTCGTTCCCTCTGAAATCGTCCGGGCTTATAAAAATATGGATAACCGATTGGTGGCTACGGAGTAATGTCATTGCATGCCTGTGCATACATGCAAGCCTCCCTACTTGTAATCGTCCGATCGATAATGGATGGTTTCCGGATTAACGGAATCTGGACTTAGGAGGTTTCACAGTAGACCTTAGTGCTCGCTCTCGCTCTATAACGGTAGCGAGCACTGAGATTGGTAAATTACGTACAGCGAAACCTCCTAAATGCGGAGTCCATTGTTAGAATACATTAAGTTTGCAGACAAAGTTTTATAACTTGCTAATATCTGCAGTAGAGCATAACACATCTTACCATGAACTCACCATGGAATACAAAAATGGACGATGTACGCCAATGTCCCTACTAGGATTCCATAACTCACCGAACTGAACACAAATCTGTCTGATTAGCACAGATACAATATGGTACCCATGGAAATGAGATTAGCAGTAATCATTTAGTTTCACGGTCAGGAGCTTGTGTGTCTTCAGAGACTAAACGAAGAGACTATAAATAGGTTTATGGTGCCGATTGGCGTTCGTATATGTCATGTGATTGATTCTCGCTTTTAGTCTCATGTCGCTATGTCCCTCACATGTGATGCGATGAATGGCCCGTTTTCTCCTGATGCTAATCGACGCAAGGATGTACAGGAATCTTAGCGAACGCTGCTTCAATTACAGACTCGTCAGCGGCCTTCCAATCATTGAGACACAGTTCACTGTCGAGATTACCACATCAAAGCGTGAAGATCTTCCATCTAAAGTGTTGCGATGACATATGGAAGGATGTACTATAACATTTGTAAGAGAGTGAGGATTGTTGAACCCCGCTTTGAACCGAATTCCACTTATATTGCAACGTGTCAGCGTAATGTGAAGGACAGCCCAAAGTGATGCAGGTCTTTTACCACTTTGTTGGAACCAGTGAGCGCGGGTGTGGTGCATTCGAACCCACGATCATAGGTTCCTGGCATGCCTAAGGGAAGCAACTCTGTACATCGCATTGCTTCTAAAAGGAGATTGAAGTCACTGCAGGCTACGTTAATCCCCAATCTAATGCCAACGTTAATCCCCTTATCATGCGTGAGTGTTCACCCCAAAACATGTATCGCTTTTAATCTTCCTCCTAACTCCATGCAAATACCTGCATTAAAAAGCTTTTACGCTTCGTAATTTCATAAAAATCCCAGTTCAAATACAGTGTAGTTACATCTTAAAACTGAGAAAGGGAGGTATAAAAAGCTTATATACGTTTGAAAACTGTTTTCTATATTTGTCAAATACTTGTAATAAGTTGTGAATGAATATCATAAGTATCTCTCCTTTGTCTTTGATGTTCCGAGTGCCTTAAAACGGATCCGATCACTCGGATCTAACATCAAATACAAGTCTGGTGGTGTTGGTCGCGTCAATTACATGATTTGTTGTAGATCGATGTGATCCCCGTTATATGGATCCAGCTTTGCACATCAGCAATAAGCTGACACGCGAATCCTACTGGTTTGGCTCGAAATATATTGGTGCATTTCTACATTTCTACAACCAAGCCACCGTTATATGCCTCATTTTGATAGTTTAATGTGTGCGTTATGCCAACATAGCTAATTATACTAATGTTCTGAAACCTGATTCTAAAGGTCACTGTACACGGTTACCTGTTGTTTAGTATGAAGACCAACTTAAAGAGCAGTGTGAACACTTCCATGCAGATCTGTTTAAACACTTACTGAAAGGACAGTTTGAACACTAACTAAAATATCAATTTGAAGACTTACTATGTCAATTAAACATGAATACCTAACACAGTATATTGACTCCGACCAGTCCTTGTTTTATCTCCTTAATGCCGAGCGCCAGGCAGGGTAAAACTAAGTACCATCGTTTGACATATTTTGGTATGACGTGACCATGGATCGAACCCCAAAACGGAGGCGGTCGCAGATCAATATGAACACCTCAAAATCAAAATAAACATCTTTATATCACTATCAAACCCCGCAGATCAATATAAACACGTGCATATCACTATGAACACCTGCAGATCAATATAAACACCTGCGGATCAATATAAACACCTGTAGATGATCACCACAAAGACTTACAGATAACCATGAACACCTGTAGACTTGCTTGATAACGGTGTCAGAACCTACACCGAAATGTCGCTATTAATTGTAATAAAGTCGTTCATCCATATATCTTATCCTTACTTAGTACGCCGACTTCTAAATGCCTCTCAAAGAAGTTAAACACTTGTAGATCACCATGCACATCTGCAGGTCAATATAAACACCTGCAGATCACCATGCACACCTGCAGATCAATATAAACACCTGCAGAACACCATGCACACCTGCAGATCAATATAAACACCTCAAAATCAATATATACATCTTTAGATCACCATCAAACCCCACAGATCAATATAAACACGTGCATATCACTATGAACACCTGCAGATCAATTTAAACACCTGCGGATAAATATAAACACCTGTAGATGATCACCACAAAGACTTACAGATAACCATGACACCTGTAGACTTGCTTGATAACGGTGTCAGAACCTACACCGAAATGTCGCCATTAATTGTAATAAAGTTGTTCATCCATATATCTTATCCTTACTTAGTACGCCGACTTCTGAATGCCTCTCAAAGAAGTTAAACACTTGTAGATCACCATGCACACCTGCAGGTCAATATAAACACCTGCAGATCACCATGCACACCTGCAGATCAATATGCACACCTGCAGAACACCATGCACACCTGCAGATCAATATAAAAACACAATGAACACCTGCAGGTCCCCAAAAACCTGCAGATCAATATAAACACCTGCAGTTCAATATAAACACCTGCAGATCACCATGCACACCTGCAGATCAATATAAACACTTGTAGAACAGAATGAACACCTGCAGGTCCCTAAACACCTGCAGATCAATATAAACACCTGCAGATCAATATAAACACCTGCAGATCACCATGCACACCTGCAGATCAATATAAACACTTGTAGAACAGAATGAACACCTGCAGGTCAATAAAAACACTTGCAGAACACTTGTCACACCTGCAGGTCAATAGAAACACCCGCAGAACACTTGTCACACCTGCAGATCAATATAAACACCTGCAGATCAATATAAACACCTGCGGGTCACTATGAACACTCACCTGTAGATGATGAGCAGGATGATGATAACAACAAACATCATGCCTCCAAGTACACCGAACACAATCTCTACGGTGTAATCTGGAACGACAAAACACAACGTTCACACTCAGTTTACATTCTTACCCCAGGTGTAAACACGGACTCGTGTACTTATGTAAGACCTTCATACTAACTGGTCGTACGTCAAACCGCCAAGAACCGGGCGTTGCCTGGGTAGTGCAGTCATGTGATGATATTTTGATATATTAAGACATCCATTGTACAGATATACATGGATACCTTACCACAAACACCAATGGGTGTTGCGCTTTATTCTAGGCGAGTCTTTTGAGCTACGTTTTTCGCATTCTCTAAGGATTTAATATACTGATATTTTGTGATGAACCAATTGCAAAACCACAGCTCCGTTGCACAAAGCGGCCTAAGCGCTAGGACTATCGTAACGTCATGTTACAGTATGGAGTTACGACTGTAGTACCACTAAGATCGCTTTGTGTAGGAGGGCCAAAGTTGGACGGACAGAGACTCAAATCTTCACCTCTAGGATAATAGAGGTTCCGCCATGTTCGATTCCTTTCAAATAATCTAACATGAGTTGGGTTTAAGGCCGCTTTCAACAGCATACCTTACATCACGGCGTGTCTGCTTAGCGTGGAGGAACAAACAAGGTGAGGTGAAATTGGGTTTAACGTCGCGTCCAAGATTATTGCACTTATATAGCGACGGGCATGCACGTGTATGTATGTGTGTGTCTGCTTGTACTAGTCCGGACTGATGCCGATTTATACTGCTAGCTCACTGAGATACCATGCTGCAGTTTAACATGTGTACCCCACTCAGACACAGTATACTGACTCCGAGCCGACCAGTCCTTGTTTTAGCCCCTTAATGCCGAGCGCCAGACAGGGTAACAACAAGTACCATCTTTTAACGTCTTTTGGTACGACGCGGTCGGGGATCGAACCCCGGACCTTCCGCTCTCCAGGCGGACGCTCTACCACTAGACCTAGGAGGCGGTTGAGGAACAAACAAATAAACAAAGTACACTAACGTTTTGGTGGTATACACCTCTCTGCTAGGTATCCACATTCTGGTTCATCGCGAGGCGGATGGCCGAGGATCCAGTCGATTTCCTTGCCGTCAAACAGCCGGAAATTCTGTTTAAAGGAATAACAGTGATTGAGTGAGAGTGTTGGGTTTAAGGCCACTTTCAACAGGATACCTTACATCACGGTGTGTCTGATAAGCGTGGAAGAAAAGCTCAAAGTGACGCAAGTCACAAGCACGGGTATGGTGCAGACAAACCAAGAATCATGATTAGTGAAAATCTGGGATTCGAACCCACGATCATAGAATACTGGCACGCTTAAGGGAAGCAACTCTTCACAGCGAATTACAGCGCCTTAGACGACTGAGCATAATACAACAACCGCAAGTAACAAAATCTATTATTGGCGTTTCTACTTCAACAAAATAACACGAATGATTACACTAAGCACCACCTCTTAAAATAGTGAGGGAGATTTTTAAGAATGAATCGTGGCAGTTTTAGTCATCGATGCGTTCTTATGAACGACAGTATGCGTAACAACATCAAACAGACTGTAAAACATATTAAAATATGACATGTTTTGGCTATATACGTCAGATATATCATCGACTCAATTGTTCATTCTTTCACGGAATTGATTTTCAAGATTAAATTTTGCGTTCATTAGTCTTATATATGTGTTGGGTTTAAGAGTAATGAATGTTTGACAAATTGTGACGGTATTACGCACTACTGATCCAAAAACACCACAATTTCCCATCTTACCCCTATCGTCGGCGGTCATAACATCTGATTGTGTGTGGCGGTTATACGTCATTAACGGTTGTAATGTGTTCCCAATTCGTTCATTATCATACAACTATTACTAGAAACTCATATCTCTTACAATTAAGGAAAGTTTAAGATACTTCCGAGTTTCCCTTACTTTTTTAAAAGAGTATACGTGCATCTGACATAATATACTGCTTTCGCAGCAATCTCTGGAAATAAAAATAGACAAGAAATATAGCGCTTGTTTAATTCTCCAAATCGAGAAACTATAAAAACCAATATATATGTATGTTACACAATATATTGCTGACCATCTTCCTCTCGAAATGAGAATCCTAAATTGTAGATTATAAAATACTATTTATATCCACTATAATACATATTGGATTCCAAGCTATCTGTGGAAATAAAATAGGACCAGTATCCAAATATAGCTAACCGAATTTGCCACTCCACATACGGAGTCCTCATGGCCTAACAACCCTGAAGTCAAATACAGTCACTGTAAGGATTCCACCCCAAGCAGCCGGACTTAACCCTTTTATGAACGGGCGTCCCAGAGGCCTTGGGGGTCAAGAGTCACTGAAGGACTATTTGTAGACCCACGTACCGGTATAAGACTTGACCCCTCGATATGGAAGTGGCCCACGGGTCTCATCGAGAACTCGGAGAAGTAGCTCTTGTATTGGGCCCTAGCTAGGACGGTGTAGTTGCCCTCGGCATCCCCATTGGCGTCGATGTGTGATAGGTATCCCTGGACACCTGCGTCAGAGAAAGGGTATTGGATTAGTGGACGCCATCTTATCTGGGGCGAAGTAGTGCTTAGGTTATTTCGGAAATCTCGAGAAACATACCGCGTACTTCACGTGTGATTGTTGTTGGGTGTTGTTCTGGGAGATTCAGCATCTCCCGGGGGAGGAATTTTATTCCCCCCAGGGAGTTGAGAATGCATGGTCAATGTCCAGAACTGATCCGCTGATCGGGGAAATATACGTTGTGTGGGATAGGCGATGTATTAGTGTATAAATCATCATCATCATCATCATCATCATCATCATCATCATCATCATCAACAACAGTCATAATGATATATACTGATACTTCAACAGCAGCTACTACTACTACTAGTATCATTACTACTAATACTACTATCATTACTGCTACTACTACTACTACTACTACTACTACTACCATTACTACTACTACTACTTCTACAACTGCTGCTATTAATACTACTATTGATGATGCCTATGGTGATGGTGATGTTAATAATTAGTCTTTAGTTTTCGTGACCCAATTTGGCCTTGATTTTGAGAATAAATATAGTTGAATAACTCTCAGATAAATCACAAATTACCACTGTTCTAAATATTGGTATTCTTGTTTTAATCCAACGAATTCCACATGTCATAACCATGGCACCAAGCCAGAACGTTTTACCAATTTTACCAAATTCAAAGACTTATAGTGTTTTGTCTGCCTTTGTGTCTCCATGTAGATGGGTAACGATGGTCCCCGCGGGCAACCACACTGTGTCAGACACATCATAACCCCGAAGAGCATGGATACAGTGATCGCCACCACTCAATCCCTTTCCGTTACTCAAACAAGTTCACATTTTAGAAGACACCACGAAAAAATTCTAATTGGACCAGTGAATATGTTTGCCTCGAGCGAGATACGTGGGAGATTCAAAGTGTCGCCATTACTGTTAATGGTGAGCTGATGACGATTGCAGATGTCCTTTCATCGCAAAGGCCGGACAGAGAATCGGATGTTAAAGTTTCACGATCGGAGATAGTGTATACGCCATTTACAGCAGAAGGAGAAAGGCCACAAAACTGAATAGTCCGCGATAGTTAAAGTGGCCGTCAGACAGGCGTCCATTTGTCTTAAAGGTGGCACCGATATGGGTTTATTTCACGGTATAAAATTCAAGAATGCACTTCACACCTGTGGTTTCCTTCACCCACGTACTGAGAGATTTGTGTATTTTAATTTGTTACACTTGAGATGTGTAGACGCGTGTAAAAAACAGTACGTGACTCTGAAACTGTGTCAGAGGATATGTATTACTGGGAAGCTCCTGGCAGGCGTTACGAAGTCTCAGACGTGTGCTAAATCGTGTCTCTTAGTTTTTTATGAGAATTCCTGAAAGTGAAGTAATGTTTATAGGTCGCATCAGTTTCAAGGCAAATCATCCACAAAAAATGAATACTATTTCAGATACATGATAACAGCTGATGTGGCTTTCTCAGAGAATAATCTACGGCTCAGGAGGAATTTGGTTTATGTGCTGAAGTGATATTTTTAAAAAGTTAGGAGTTATTTTTTTCTACACATTAAAAAATGTGAAATTACTGAAGGAACTGAAATTGTGCCATTTGTCTGCGACAGCCGGCACTGATGACCAAGTAGCCTGATTTCGCTTGGCGGGGTCGTTGTGCCAGAAGCGTGGGTTCGAATCCCGGTTCGTCCTGATTATGTTTGTAGGTTTATCAGCACCATACCATGCTTGTGGTTTTCACCCCACTTCAGGCTTTCCAGGGCGTTTCACTGAAATACTCTTTAAAGCGGCGTTAAACCCAACTCACTCACTAACTCACAATGACACAAGACTTGTATTAAGTACATCTACTGAGAACATTTCTTTAAAATCTTTATAAATTCAAGCTCGTTAGCCAAAATGGCAAGTCTAATAAATTGCCAGTCCGGTTTAAAAGTTGCCAGTCCAGAAAAAGCTCCTTACTGGAATTAATCAAAGCGACAAAACCATTTCCAGATTTAACATTACTCATAAGGAATCTCTGCACAAATAGTCCGTTGTACGAGTGCAACTACTGGTATGATTTTTTTTATGAATAATTATAATCAATAATGATATAGGTTTTCGCGAAAAGGTGATGACAGCCGTCACAAACACTTGCAAAGACAAGTCAAGTGTTCACCTGAACAAAGACGGGAACATATGTTACAAAATAGGGAATTGCATTGGACAATTGTGGTCAATGAAATCTCCCACATACATCCTCTGAAGTATTTCTAAGTCCTATTAAGGCCTTGAATGCTGTAACCCTGATCAAACAAGTTATGTGCGGAGGTCGTATGATGCTTTTTGAAATATTCACAGAAAGAGCATCCTCGATAGTACCTAAGAAATGTGAAACCATCGAGTAACTATGATGTTGATAACTATGATAGTTCCTGTGAGCATGTGTGTGAGTGAGTGAGGTTTGACACTTTCCTCAGTGTGCTAGCTACAAGAATGGCTATCACACATTGTACCCGTATGGGGAATGGACATCGGTCGAGAGAATGCTTTAACCACTTAGCTTGCCAAACGTCTAATCCTGCATAAAGCGTTGATTGAAACGGTGCATTGCTGAAGCATCACACACTACTTGGGCTGTACATTCCTTAATATATTCAATACTGACGAGTGATGGTTCAATCACAACTCATGACACGGTTCGATACCTCCAATGCTTCAAAGGAGAGCAATACAATAAACAGATCACCAAACCGACATGTGTTAAGACAGTGGACTTTCATGAAACCTTCTTGCCCCGGAAGCCACAACAAACAACCAATCCCATTGACAACATTCCGCTGACGTTGCTTTCTTTAGCCACATCAACAAATTACGAAGGTTGTCAGGTTTCATTCTCGGACGTTCTCAGATTCCCAAAGAAGGTGACCCGATAATGTCCGGCACTGTCCTGCCATCTCATTCGGACATGTGATAGCCTTCAGGGTCTGACCAGTGAGGACGAAACAAGCGCCATGCAATTTGTGCCCAATTGAGTGGCTGCCAATTTGCTGTGCTAACCATTCCTAGCCAGAGACGCCCAGTGCGCCCAGGAGGTGCAAGCTTCTTGTAACCTTGGACACAACAGCTAATAAAGCTGATAGAATATAGCAGTCCCTTGTGGATTGCCAAATACCTAACTCTTAAACGAGAACGGAACTATAATCAATGGCAGTTGTTAAAGAATAGAAGGTTTCACTTGGGACGTATAAACAGCAAATATCTGCCCCCATAAGTCAGTGAGAATAATACGCCATTCGTCAGGAGTTGTAAAGACGAACCACTCAGAGTCCCAATGCAGAAGAGCCTCATGTTTAGAACAAAGTAAAGTAGGACTTCGACAAGGTGTGCATATTTAGAAGAGTGTGGGGCTTTGTAGTGCGTCAGAAGAGTTGTTACCTAGAACTGGCAGGTTATAGTTTAGAAATCACGAAAGAGAGCCTCGGAGTGCTTATTTCTATCGACTAGTGTTGATATAATCTGGCAAGATTCTCTATGACAACAATATTCCACTGATATCACGGGGGGTAAGCTTAGTGTAGGGGGAAAGCCCAAAAGGACAGGTAGACTTTTGTTGTGGTGAAACCCTTGAATACCCGTAGATCGGAACAAAGCCGGCATTCCAACCCAAGTTCATTGGATTTTGACAAAGCTTATAGAGCAAATTGTGGCACCTCAGGCCACTTAAGAAGCTCTGTCCATGTGTCGTAAATGAGTGAGTGGGCAGGATATGTCAATACCGTCGCCGTCACTTGGGTGAGTGTGTGAGTTTGGTTTTAAAGTCGCTTTTAACAGTATTCCAGTTATACCACGGCGTGTCTCTTAATGTGGGAGGAAAGCCCGAAGTGATGCAGGTCTAAGACGTTTACCGCTTCGATGAAGCCAACGAACACGGGTATGGTGCTGACAAACCTAGAAACATAATCGGGGCGAACCGCAATTCGAAACCACAGTCATAGATTTCTGGCGTGCCCAAGGGATGCAACTCTGCACAGCGAAATGCAGCCCTTAAAACGACCGAGCAACCCGTGTATGAAACAAACACTTAAATGTAAAAATGATGAACACGATGTAGATATATGATACTAACTTGTGAAGGAGCGATCCCGGATGCAATTAATGATGGCTGTGCCGTCGCTGTGGTTGCCATTTTTCCGAAGTACTTCTTTCAAGGCATCGGCATACAACATGACAGCATCGTACAAGTATGCCGCGAACACGGTGATCTTATGAGGAGAAAAAGGGAACATGTTTACATTAACATAATATTTTCAGGGAGGGGCCTGTGATTTGTATTCCAAAAAACACTCCACACTTTCAGTGTTGTTTTTTTTATTGTTTCAGGCAGAATTTGTACTTTAAGACATGCAGTTTTTCCTTTGAACGGAAGACCAAACAAATGAACAATTTCGTTCCCAGAACACATTTATTTCCGAGCATCCGGGTTGTCAAGGGAACATTATGTTTTCAATAAAACCAGAAATAAAATACATTTTCCCCAGTAATTTCTAGAAGATTTTTAGATAATTTTTCCTAATATCCCGGGCTCCCTCCATGATACCGACTGGTCAGCCCCTTTGTTTCCCCCGTCGTGATGAGACTGGGACATTACAAAGAACCTTAAAACAAAATCTAGGAAACATCGGGGTGATTGGGGACAGTGGATAGATTTTAAATCATAAGATTACATATTCAATACCAGTATACTGAAACAATGTAAAAACGCATATTCGATTTTTTGTAATGTTGCCCAAAATGCCACCAAAATGAAGTTGTTCCTTGTTGCATGAGGTAATCAAACAAAACAATGTGGCCACTCGGGCTCGACTCTCATTCGATGTTTTTTGAGATGCCCTTGAGCACAAAATGTCTGATGCTTGAAAACAGGAATATGCGTTTTCATAGTTTGTCGGTATGCATGTATATTCGGCCATTTCCCAACATGGTCATAATTACAAGCGTACTAAGGGACCGATCATTTGATATTCTTGGGGAAGCGCTGGGATTTTATTTTAAGACATAACATGTAGCCTTCCAACATTCGTGCCACTGCCGATTTACTACAGTTTTATTGATATCTTTGACGGAATTGGCTTGACATCTGGATCTGCTAAACCTGATTGATCGAGGCTGACTTTGATAGAACACCATGATATCTCCCTTTAGAGGGCTGCTTTCTGTATTAAGTGTTCGAAAACGACTTTCAAGTCCGACCTTAAATTATCAATAAACTTCCCACTAAACTGAACACAAAGGCATGCGGATATTACGTTGCGAAAATGATGACTGCTTTCACCGTATTGACGTCATGGGAAAGAATATGTAACGGTCTGATTTAGATCCCAGTACAATCAAACAGTTTCATGTTAGTCTTTCTAAAATTGGCGATCTACTTCTCATCCTGTTACATGTAACATATCTCAGGAAACCTCTTTCAAAGTTTGAATTGATTTCATGAGGTCAAAGTAACAAACCATTCTCTCGAATCCAAGTATTAGGGGATATGGCTGCAACATGCTCTTTGTAAATACTTGCTTTCAACGTCGGCTTTACGACTTTCAAAACGGTGTTATGTTCGATCAAAGCCGTAGTCTAAAGCCAAATACGGAATTACATCAAACTGGCGGAAAGGATCTAAAACAATAATGAGTTTCGTTCGCATGCAGATTCAATTATTACCAAACCATTGATGGTAAAAAAGTGTTGTTGATCAACAAATGTATCCGTAACATATGATATGTCCATTATTGCCGCATCTTAGGCACAAAAGAATGGCGCAAAAAAGCTCGCAAAGAGTAATATTTCCTTTCATATTACATTATCTTCGTGCAGCTGAGATGGGTGAAAGGGAAGCAGGTTACTGGCTCCAGTAACAAATGGTTGTCTGGAAACCCGATCTAATATCATGGTTACTCTCAGCATGACGGACTTCGTCTGGTCAGTTGGCAGGAACATTGCGTAATGCCAGATTAGATTTTACTGTACCCATTTGCTGACTGACGTGGATATTGAATCAAGGAATGATATACTTTTGTTTTCAAGATAAAAGGAGTTAAAAGTTTGTATTCTTTACTGTATGTTTGATTAAGATATAACTTTCAGATTCAGTTCCAAAAACGTTGGCTAAGTAATGGTATTAAATTGTTGTTTTTCATAATGTCTGCCATGGTGGCCATATTGAAAATCGGACAAACTTGGATGATACGAGTTTTAAAAACAGGCATGCTAAGTTTCAGTTTCAGTGGACTAGTGTTTTTCAAAAGATGCCACAAAGACGTCGAAGTTGGCGTCTTCGGCGAAACCCAAAGACCGAATGATCATGTATATCCAAACGTTGAAAGAGTTTCATAGGCCTTATGATGTACACATGTTCCTAATAACCTCTTTATTATCCATAATTGATAAAAGTTGTTGTGAAGAAGTGTCCTCAATGGAGACAACCGTGAATAGATTTTGATTTTTCACATAACGTTAAAATTAATAGCGTGACGTGATCATCTACAATGCCATCAATATCAGTTAATCACGTCAACAATTATATGGGCATGACGTCAACAATTGTTTCTGCATTAGGTCACCAAAGGCATACTGCACGTGAAGTCATTAGTACACATACTAAACTTAGGGAATTTCAACCATTTCTCTTAACATCATATAAACTACGTGTTCTTGTTTCTACCTTTTTAGATTTGAATGGGTCTGGAAAATTAAATGGCGGCATCTCGTTGTAACGGTTGACCTGTCTCTGGAAATCCACGTACGTGGGGTCTGACGGCGGGCTGTACGTCACCACCAGCAGTGACCGTGACGCTTCAAGGTTCCGGGTGTCGTTGAAGATATCCATAGTCCCTGGGGAAAGATGCATACACACATAAAGGGTTAATACAAAAGTATCTCGATATACAACAGGGATCACGGCCGTCTCATCAGTAGACTGGGCCGTTGTGCAGAGTTGCGTCCCTTATCCTATAGTGAGAGGGTGAGGTTTTACGCCGCCATTAGCAATATTCCAGCAATATCACTGCAGGGAACACCAGATATGGGCGTCATACATTGTAACCAAGCGAGGAATCGAACCCGGGTGTTCAGTGTGACGAGCGAACGCTTTAGCCACCAGGCTACCCACCGTCCCGTAGCCTTTCATGATTCCGGGTTTGAATTAGTATCAAACAACCCGGGCCATGCTTCAACCTGAAACATTACATTTTTAAGATTATAAATACACACTTCATGGTTCCATACCACATTGATTACCCCTCGTGGGGATTTAGGTATGGAGTAGGTCCTTAGCAAACTATGCATGTCGTACGCAATTTAGTGGATCAGTAGGTCAGACTCGGTGACATGGCTGATAGCACGTCATCGTACCCGACGAATCCTTTCTCACAACACAAATCACTGGTTTGTCTGTCCATATATGATTTTTTTACTGGCTGAGTGCGATGTTCAACAAAAACAAACAAACAGCGATTTACTTTGTTGTATTTCTGTATGTTCCTTTATTTATGTCCATCAGTATATGAAGCTATGTCATTCAGCTACCAGATATATCATACGATGAAAAAACAGCGAAGCAAAACCTTATAAAGCCTTCATGCTGTCCCAGGGCATTTTTGCTTGCTATAATCGATCTGAGGCAATAATTACAGGATCCAAGAAATCATATTTAACAGCTTCCTGTAGCGTTTTAATGTGTACGATACTTCATCTCTTTAACGCAGTAGGCTGTACTGGTATTGTGTCATCTTAAACTACGGGACGTGAAAAATGACGTTTATATCATACACATAAAAATTCTCAATTATGAAACAACTTTTTTATTATATACTTGCCACATGTAGCGCCACATAATGGTATATCAGAGACACGGCGTGTGTCCTTAATTAAAAAAAGGCAGTAATGTTTTCCATCGATACATGTTTTATATAAAATGTAATTGAAAAATGACAAGAATGGAGATATTTATTATATGTATTTCCCGATGGCCATTTCCTGGAATCATCATTGATATACATACGTACAACCTTCCATAGAATGTCTGACCAGAATCCTTCAAAATTGATAATATCACTGCTCTAATCTCGCATCTAAGGGTCAAAACCTTCCCATGTCTTGATGGTTATGTTTTTGTAATTCACTTCGATATTAAACTGCATGTTGTTCGCCTTTGAAATTTGAAAAAAGCCGAGTTATGTACTCAATATCATGTTGGAAAATCTGGTAATCGATATTGGTTAACTTTTTGAATGTCACTCGGCTTACTCCGTAACGAGGCGTATTTGTATTGAAACACTGACATTATATGACCGATAGAGACGGAGGAGGTTGCTGCAGTGATGGAGAGTGATGACGTTGGCTTGGTGACGGTTTGGTCGTGTGAAAGTGGAATTGTGTTTAAATGTTTGAAACATATTATTTTTTGTATAATTGAATATGTAAATCTTGATGATCTAAAGCTGTATAAAATCCCAAACATTATATCTTTCGTTCATTCATAATTATCTCTTTTTAAAAGAAACGTGCTCGCACATCTAAACAGACACGTACAAAGTATATATATACAGTGACAGACGTATATTCTGGACCCTGTTAAACCGGAAGGCTCACGTTCCGAACAGTTACTTTGTTTGTTTGTTGTTTAACGCCACACTCAGCATTATTCCAGCTATATGACGGCGATCTGTAAATACTCGAGTCTGGACCAGACAATCCAATGAGTGACATCATGAGCATCAATCCACGCCATTGGGATACGATGACATGCATCTACCAAGTCAGCGAGCCTGACCACCCGATCCCGTTACTCGCCTCTTACGACAAGCATGGGTTGCTGAAGACCTACTCTACCCCGGATCTTCATGGGTCCCGAACAGTTACTGTCAGGACCGTCCATTTAAACACAAAGGACCATTTCTCACGAATTATTAATCTCGACATGTGTTAATCTGTCCAATTTCAAAGGGGTTAACGAGATGTCACTAAACCTCTTTCATGTGTGTGGTTCCTTTACAAGACGAAGTGTTAACATTCTCAAGACAATATTTATATCGTTTAATATTTATATATATATATAGTTTAATTGTATTTCTTGTCTATTCAGAATTCATAAACTGCCGGGCTGAAACAATGCAAACCTAATGTCCTAAACACAACTATGATACCCGTATCAATTACATCACCATCGAATAACCGTTTACTGCTTCACTTTTACTAACCATCAAACATAGGTGGGTTCCTACTTTACTCAATTTATCAATGAAAACATAAAGTTATTGATTTTTAAGCAACTATAGAACACCACACGTAACTGAATAGAAGATTTATGCACTTTGTATTTCCGATCCTCAAACAGATTATCATAAAGGAAACTCCGTGGGGCCCGACTGCGTCAAAACGTGGTCCAAATGTCGGAGTCCCTGTAGGATTCCCATGGCCTGTCGGTAAGAAAGCCTGCAACTGACACGTCCGGAACTACCAACTTCTTCACATTATGGACAATCAGATGAGCGTTAACCAATGGCCATACTGGCACCAGTTCCACCGATTTCTGTTTATCAAAACCGCCGTTACTGCTAAATACGGTTTTAATATTACACCGACAGGTGGAATCGAGCGTTAAATTGTGTAAGAGCGTTAGACGACCGCCATGTTTCAAGTCTATGTTCTGTGTCTGTGCAAAGGAGGTGATTTTAATTGAATTTTTTTTTTTTTAATAACTTATATGTAACCCAACATGCTACTGACAAATCTTAATATAATATCCGTGTCAGATAAACAATGCCTTTGGTCATACAGAATGAAATAAGTGGTCAATTTTCAATACGCCAAGGTGTCTTGACAGAAGCCATGCACCATGCATGTTGTTTCCACGTTCATACTAGACCTCTCGCCATTAAACTTGGTTTGGTTCTGGTTTAATTATATTCCAGCCAAATAACGACGAAGGACACCTGGTTAGGTTTCACACTTTGCACTTATGTCAGGACCTCGCGACGATGTAAAGGTTTAACCATCAGTCTCCATAAACATCAAAGATGAAATGAAAATATGTATTTGGATGTTGTGTTCTCCACATCTTATAATCGTTTGCAGGGCATAATGTTCGTGCGTGTGCGTGTGGGATTTTAAAAATAATTTAACAAGTAGTGAACGACGTCGTATTTTAGGGTGAACAATTGACTTGCCTTTGCATGTGTTTGTGACGGGTCCGAAAGGTTGAGCAGGATACGCTCACTTTGTAAAATCACTATTTGTAGCGATTCAGAAATACATGATCACGTCAGTCATGAATCATACAATCGACTTTTAGCAGAGATTTCTTATGAATAAGGAAATGGTTTCGTCGCATTAATTTACTTTTATTTCAAACAAATCCAAGCTTAAATATTAACCATTTCATAACACTGACACGGTTACTAGAAATAGAATGCGTCTCCAATAACAGTTGATTACACCTTTTTACGAAACGAAAAAAGAAAATTAAGATAGATCCACAATGTCTCGACGCTGAGTGTAAACGTTGATGAAAGATGAAAAGACACATAAGCTAGTACCCTTTTTGAAGACGATATATTATGATGTTGAATGTAAAAACAAGTTCCCCGCATCAGTTGACCAACGAGACTCGTATTTTGGGGGAGACTCGTGTAGGCCAGCATGGAGAAGGAAGTAGTAGCAGCGTATAACAAGAAGTAATCCAAGAGATAATCCCCTTTCAGCCCGTGATTGGTACCATCAGGCTTTGACAGGCTTTCCATAGGTTCCCCATTAGCAGATTAACTACTTTTAGGCAGGGAGAATGCTGGGAGAACATGCGATGGCAACATCTTACATGATCGCAAATACACTGCAAGGTTCATATTACTTTTTAAAAGGAATGCATAAAAATATCTTACAATGCAGACTTTGTTTTTCTCGGAGAACAGACGGCCTTGGTCTTAAATAGGTTTTCTTTCAAAGTGACTGGCAATGGAGTCCGTCTGGCAATGGTTTTTATACGGTCCCATTCATATGGACTCGAGAAGTTTTTTACCATTTCAGGTTTCCGGGAATTGGATGTGAAGGAAAAAGTTTAAGCTCGGAAGAATATTTTTTCATTTCCTTGGAAAAGGTTTAGGTTGAGTAGTTAAGGAACAACAGTAACGTCTCAACGAATTGATTATTGGTTTATTGAAATCTATGGTTCCTTGTTTGTTCATATTTTCAAAATTATGTGCTTTTGATGGTCTGATGATGATGAAGTATTTCATATTTAGGTCTATGCATAAAGACTAAGATTGTCAAAGTACTATCGACAAGACTGTATGACAGGAGGTATGACTTCAAATTCCCAATGGTCAACTTTCCCTTCAATTTGAGAAATATTCCTGCAGCTCCAGCCTTTGGTGTCTACATTTCACAACTTTTGAGGTACCATCGAACATGCTCTTACTACCAACATTTCAAAGAGCGTCATACAACTCTTGCTAAGAAGTTGTTTGATCAAGGAGACAACATTCAATGCCCTAGCTTTCAAAAAGTTTTATGGAAGACATGTGGATAGCATTTCCAAATTTGACGCATCAGTGACAAAAAAATGATGTCCGGTGCAATTCCCTTTTTTTTGACTTGTACAATATGTTAGCGTGTTCTTTCAGGTGAACAATTGCCCTGCCTTCGCATGTGTTTGTGACAGGTGCCACCGGTGAGGCAGGATACGCTCACCCTTTTGCGAACACCTGGTATCACCACCATTTGATAGTGATTCATACACACCTGCTTAAGATACAGTCGGAATCGTACAATCGAATCTGTTTTTGGCAGATATTCCTTATGAATAAGGAAAGGGTTTTTTCGCTTTTATTTATTTGAAAAGCCATATTCAGCTATATTACTACCATAGAGGACACAAGCCTCCTTATTAAAACTTAAGCAAATTTAAACCTATTGAAAGCTATGTGTCAATTTAGAAATACATAGAAAATATAGCACCCGTCTCTAACGCTGCATACACTGCGTCTATTTGGAGAAATATAGACTTTTATATATCTTCAAGAACTATTTTTTCATTAAAAACAACAACATATCCATCAGCTCTCATTGTTCGAAAAAATATCTTTCGAAAAAAACTTTGTAAAGTAATAAAGAAATCAGATCAACATTGACTGAATTCATCATGAATGTTTACGAGGATAAATCACGCGTGGCACACTATTGTTTATATAGATTCCGACTCGTGAGTGAAGTGAAGCAAACTGTCTTTGTCTAACTCTATTGTCTGTTGCGGTGATGGGCAAAACATAGTCAGCCTGTGCTTTGGTGAAGATTATCAGATTATTGAAAACAGTCAGCTCAAAATAGATATTATGTACGGTCTGGTAATTTTCAGGATGGCGATAATGATTATTTATGGGGCGTTATTGTATTATGCCCGTGTCAGCTAGTTCGTGGAATAGGTCGCCTCATAATATCACCCGTGGCTTCTACAACACAATCAGGTCTGGAACCTGGTTAAACTAACGGCGTAGCGTTCCAATAGAATTATGTCTTATAGACATGAGAACATATTTGTATTTTTAGTAAGTCGGGGTAATGGCTATATGTGCGTACTTGAACACTTGTGATAACTTACAAAAGTGAAAAATCACGTTAAAAACGGTAATCATGTGTATAACCAAGTGACTATTTATAGTGTTTATAGTGAGCGCATAGGTTTAATGTCGCTTCAAACAGTATTTCAGTAACGGGGTGTTGATGTGGGAGAAAAGTCCAAAGGGATGCAGGACGTTTATAGATTCGAGTCATCCCCATCATGTTTGTTTGTTGGTTTGTTGTTTAACGCCACACTCAGCAGTATTCCAGCTATATGACGGCGGTCTGTAAATAATCGAGTCTGGACCAGACAATCCAGTGATTGACATCATGAGCATCGATCCATGCAATTGGGATCGATGACATGCATCAACCTAGTCAGCGAGCCTGACCACCCGATCCCGTTAGTCGCCTCTTACGACAAGCATGGTCACCTTTTACGGCAAGCATTGGTTCCTGAAGACCTATTCTAACCCGGCTCTTCACGGGCATCCCCATCATGTGTTTACATAGAGTGACTGAGTGAGAGGGTTGGATTTTACTCGACTAGAGAAATTCGAGTAGAGTTCTGGAGGGACAAGGTTCATAACCGGCACGAATCTTGGATTCAAACTGACGCTCAGCAGATCACGCAAGAGTGAGTGAGTGAGTGAGTGAGTGAGTGAGTGAGTGAGTGAAAATTTAACGTCGCATCGGCATTATTTTTCAGCCCTATAGCAACTGGATACTCTGAACAAGTTGTGCAGTCTTAACTGTTGTACTCTTTCATTTTTAGAAGATAATAATAATGATTACGATTTGTATGAAATTGTGTCAAATAGTTTAATAATTTATTTGGTTTAGTTTATTCATTCATATTAGTTAATAAAAAAATATATATTTACTGTGTATGTAGCAATAATAGGGCACAGAAATACACGTGCTACGTCTGTGACTGAAGAGTGAGTGAGTGAGTGAGTGAGTTGGGTTTAACGCCGCTTTTAACAGTATTCAAGTTATATCACGGCGTGTTAGCTTAATGTGGGAGGAAAGCCCGAAGTGATGCAGGTCTCAGACGTTAACCACTTCGGTGAAACCCACGAGCACGGGCATGGTGCTGACAAACCTAGAAACATAATCGGGGCGAACCGGGATTCGAACCCACAACCACAGGTTTCTGGCGCGCCCAAGGGACGCAACTCTGCTCAGCGAATCGCGGCGCCTTAGAAGACTAGGCCACCCGTGCCCCCCTGTGATTGACGAAATACTTTATTAACCAAGACTTTCATAGGGTTACGATGATAGACATTTGTATGGAATCGTAGTAGGGACATTGTCGCGTTTTCAAAACGTTGTTATCGCATTGTCGCGCTTGGGTTAATTTTCGCACTTTTTGCGACAACGCGACAATGTCCCTTCCAGGATTCCGTACAGTGGACATTTAAAACAACCCTATGTTTCCTAGCATCAAGTTGCTTCAGTACGAAGATCCGCGCACTCAGTGAACAATTGTCAATTCAGTCAAGCCCCCTTAATCCGACATGGTTGGTTGCATATGATTAACGGGTATGTCGGATAAACGAAATTAAGCAGTATCAACGTTCGTGATCGAAAATCGGACAACTACACGATAGATAACGATACAAACACGTAAAAAAATAAATAAAAATGAATTATTCATATTGTTATGTTACATTGTTAGCGGAATATGTTTTCTAATCATGCAACCTCTAAAGCTCAACACAAAACAACTGTTACGGACTGTGTTTTTTGTAAAGGGTGGGGGTGGGGATGTGTGAAGATTTATGACCCCTTAAATTAACGTGCTATTGTTTATAGAAAGTGAAGAAATAAGATGTCAAGACTGATAGACTTACTCTTGAAGTATTTCAGAGGGTCCTTGCTGTCGAAGGTGTTGTGGTCGACGTAGATGACGATGTAGTCGCCAGTGTCCAGCAGCCCACGGTCATACAAGTTGGTCATCAAGTCCACTACACCGTTCACCTCGCCCAGGAACACGTACACTGAAAAACACGGTCAGTTTTAGAGTACGCTTTGTAATTCATTGAATTGCTGAATAGTTGGTAGGTTTGTTTGTTGTTAAACGCGGCACTCAGCAATATTCCAGCTATATGACGGGATCAGTAAATAATCGAGTCTGGACCAGACAATCCAGTGATTGATATCATGATTATCGATCCACGCAATTGGGATAGATGACATGCATCAACCAAGTCAGCGAGCCTGACCACCCGATCCCGTAAGTCGCCTCTTACGACAAGCATAGTCGCCTTTTACGGCAAGCATGGGTTGCTGAAGATTCTACCCCGGATCTTTACGGGCATCCAAAGGACCAGGCAATATGGACGTAAACTACCTTGGGGAATCCGCTGGAAATATCACACTAAGGAGTCGAACCAACAAAATATAAAACGTCAACGTCATAGAATAAGCAGACTCGATTAACCGCCGAAATACATTTGTACATTCCATTGGGCTCAAAAGGCAAATATGCGGTGAAAAACATATGAAAATCAATAATGACACCAGGTGTTGGGGAAAAGGGTAAGCATGTTCTGTGCTACCGATAGCAGCCACAACGCTAACAATTTGCATAAAAAAGTGTTGGTCACTGACGTCGCATAACAGTACCCCTATCATGTGACGGCGGTCGGTAAGCAAACCAGACAATCAAGTGATCGATGGACCAAAAACATTTAGTCACTGATTTTTTGAGATGATAAGTATACCTAATTATAGAGGTAGTATCTTGCGCTTCACCACGAACTAACCTCAAAAAGCTTTACAGTATAATAAAAAAAATATCTTTTTCATTTCATTAGTAAACCCGAACGTTTCAACCATGAATTTACAAGTGATTCCCATTTGCTAACGTACATAGCACAAGAGGACCTAACGGAATTAAAAACAAATTAAGTGTCGTTGTTTTCCCTCCTTAACTCCCAACTCATTTCCTGTCTGCTAGGCCATCGTGATTTCAGGTGATGGAAACCACAGGAGATATTCGCATTCATTTTTCTTCCATTTTCTTCCAACATTAGGAACGGGCCGAGCACCATTATTCCTTCCCCAGGGGCACGTTTATCCTGGGTAAAATTAAATTAAAATTACAAATTTGATCTCTCTTTCTCTTTGCAATAAAGGAGGCATGATGTAACAGAAGTCTTTCTCTATCAACGTTTTTTAAACAAATATCTAGGTCACTAATAATAGATAAAAAACTGCTAATGCTGCGTTGCACAAAAGCATCTCACTTGGTACGTGTTTTAAGCAAAATCACAAAAGGGCCATTTAGGCATATTGCAGATATTTGTCATGTGACACTAAAATATCGCCAAAATTACATTCAATCAAACTTTGCTACATCGTTACAAGAGTTCGTTCAAACTGGTTTCACGATTAAACCTATTCGTCTTCATCACTTCAGAGGTGAGGTGAAATGGAGTTTAAGGTTCATTTATGTAACGACTTGCATGTATGTATGTGTGTTAGCTTGTACTAGTCTGTACTTGCATTGTAATTTGGATAACTCACTCAGACACAGTATACTGACACCGGTCGACCAGTCCTTGTTTTATCCCCAAGTGCCATCTTATGGTATGACGTGGCGGGGTCGGAACCACCGACCTTCCTACCTCTCATCGCTTCAGAAGGATCACATACATACGCGAGTGAGTACGGTTTTGCGCTGCGTATTTTCTATTCCAGATAAATCAAGAGCCAGTGCTTAGGGCAGTCAACTGGCAATACTGACATGGCGAACTCCTACAGACATCTATGCGGACATTGCGTCATCATCTTAAGGGGATGCTGCTTCTTCCTGCACCACTGTTAAGAGGTGTGCAGGGGGGGAGAGAGTACCTCGGAGATGATTCAAGACCAGGAACACCTTCAACTGCCACCACTAAGGAAAATGTTGATAAAATACATATGATTATGGAAGGTCGTTGATTCACCGCACGTCACAGAGCCAAAGCAGTAGGAGACAGTCAAGGAATGAATGACAAAGCACGCTGATTTCCAAGGGTCCAGATTCGTAACTATGGATGAGTCTTGGGTTCGCCATTACCACCAAGGGACTAAACAACAGTCAAAACAGTGGGGAAATCTAACGTCTCCTCCCCGGAAGAAGACAAATTCTGTTCCATCAGCTGGCTAGGGGATGGCTTCGGTTTTCCGGGATTTCAATGGAATTCTTCTCGTGGAAAAAGCCAATGTTATGCTAATCCGTTTAGGGAACTGCGTGAGAATATCAAAGCTGAACTCACTAAATGTGTGTTCTAACAGGACAACGTAACTATGCACAAGTCTGTTATATTTATCTAGTAAAAAACAACAATAAACTTAACTTGGATGTTTTTTTAAGAGTGATTAAAGATATTGTTTAAGTGACACACTGTATTGCTAGAAAGCAGTATTGCAAAGTTTTTTAGGAAAAATGGCCAAAGCAATTACTGAAATACTTAAATAAGAAATAGTTGCCAGGTATGTATATACACATGTATATGCCTTTATTTTTATGCTCTGACTAATGTAAGACCGTGTCCATGTGTCAAGAAACGTGACTACTTTTCTGTACAGAATATTACATGCAATCTGTCTGAATGCGTCTCAGTCACATACTCATCATAAGTATGTACGTGAAAACAAGTGAAAATGTAACATCATTCTGAAATGAATAAAAAAAACTTAAAAAGGAAGTCTATGGCACCAATGGGATCAAGTCACTCCCGCACCATGTTTGTGGCCATGGAAAGGATTTTGTGTAAAATCAGCGCGTCCATCATAATGAGACTCAATTAATGATGATGCCAGGTGTTGGCGAAAGGATGACTGTATCACAAACACATGCAAAGGCAAGTCAAATGTCTAATAACAACGACTAGATCAAGACGAAAAATGGGATCATGGAGTCAAATCATCCTTTACAGTGCATGTCGTCTCTGTTTACATTGAATCATGAATACACAAAAAATGCAAAGTTGTTTTTCACAATAATAAATCTCTTACATTATGTTTGGACGGAAATCATTTGCGGCAATTAAAGTTTTAATTGACCACTAAGGAAAAGAAATTGTAAGATAAAAAGTGTGAATCATGCTTAAATCGACGACTTTGAAGTAGAGGAAAGTAGAAATCTTTGTAAAGAAATTACAAGAAAAACATCCACTTTAACATCACGTTCTTCGACAGCACCATTTACAAGACAATCATCAGTGTTCAAATTCAAATAGATATAAATCCGTTTGAAACAGACAGCCACACATATAGATCTAGGGTTTCTGATAATTGGAAAGATGGTTTCGGAAAAGAAATAGAACAAAATATTGTTTTTATAGTTCCAGTGTCCACAAAAGATGTCTCTCTTGGTACTTAAGGTAAAGCAACGTTTCTCATCGTTTCTTGGTTCTGCTATATTTTCACTAACTACATGTTGAATTAGGTTGATCGATCCACGAATAACAAATTGAGCCGAAACAATGGATTATTGGCACAATGGCATTTGATTTAAGAAAAACAACTCAGATGATCGATACTACCCACGCGAACGCCGCCAGTCAGGTGGTTGTATCAGATGACAAGAAGGCTGAAGCTACTGTGCAGCGACAGTGTGGAAACAAGACCGGCATCAAGTTGGTGACCAGCATCTTTCAATGAGAGCAGGGGAGGATGCTGGCACTGACGTTATTCAGTTGGTAGCGATGTTTCAGATGTTAATACCTACGCGAACACCTGGTGTCATCGCCGTAATTTCATATTAGCCATCATAGTCAGGAACACCTGGTGTCATGATAATAACGTCATCATTAATCGATGCGATCGGGAACACCTGGTGTCATGATAATAACGTCATCATTTATCAATGCGATCGGGAACACCTGGTGTCATTGATAATAACGTCATCATTAATCGATTCGATCGGGAACACCTGGTGTCATGATAATGACGTCATCATTTATCAATGCGACCGAGAATACCTGGTGTCATGATAATATCGTCATCATTAATCGATGCGATCGGGAACACCTAATGTCATCATCGAATAACTTCATTATTATTAGACATTGTAGTTTTCGTGAATGGTTTTATGAAAATGAAAACACCCAAGACGCTAACGTTTATAATCATAAATAGGATGCAGCATAATGTAGCGTTAATCAAGAAATATCATTAATTGGAAAACGGCTTGGAGTGGAAACGCAATATTATTGATGTTGAATAAGATTCGAAACCTGGAAATCATCTGAAAGTTATCTTATTTTGAAAGCTTTTTTTGAGAAGATTATGTTATTCGGCATGACGTCATGGATATCGTAATCAGTGTTGAATGCCCGTGGAATGAGAATGTTGTACATGTACCAAAACATGTATTTAATAAACAAACACCATGTGTTTTCTTGTTTGCGAGCGTTACAGTGTATAAGATATTCGGAAACATGTGAACGTCGTCATTTCCACGTGCAAAATACCTTGAAAGAAAAACTCATTAACACCGTTAATCTGAAAACACATTGTGCTTGTCTCATAAGAAAACCCTCCACCCTCGTCCCATACCGGCCACCTACATGCGAACACCCCCTTACAAAAAATATTGTTTATGCCGAAGTTTGTTACCATCAACGGTCCATCTCTCTACGACAGCAAGCAAATAGTACTGGTATCGTGAAGTTATATATAGGGTCCAACTACATCCATATGAAGAGGGTTGGACCGAGTTCTTGGGCCAAGTTCTTGAGTGTAAAAAATCAATGTACATTCAAGCCCCTGACGTTCCAATATAGTTTATTTGCTTATAAGCAGGTCTATGATCAATGTCACGCAATCAAAGAAGTTGCATTACAAGACTCAGTTCTACGCGTAGGTGTTGGTTGATTGCAAGGAGTAAATTCCCAAAATAAAATATGGTTGCAGTGTATCAAGGATAGTTGGTGTCTCGGTTAGAGTCAAGGGTTCTCAATTGAAGCAATGATTGCCACCCACTTTCTCAAAATTGACAGAGGTA